ATTTAGACTCACTCTAAACTACTGTGACATTTAGTCGTACTTGTACAGAAGCAGACTAGGAAGCGGACGAAAGAGTACCTCATAAAAAGAAGAGGGAGCTTTGGGAGCAGTGGACAAAGCCACTCATGAGTCCCAAGCGTGAGCAGAGAGAGTTGGCTAATAAATTGATTGTTTATTTCTTTTGTTTTCTTTTTAGGGAAGCTTCGTTTGGTTTTTGTTGATCCCCTCTCTCTATTGCAAGTGTATATTACATTTATCTTTTCTTTTCTAGACATACTCTATTATCTTCGTTTGGTTTTCCTAATGGATTTTGGTGTCTCATTCCAGGCAACTAGATCGCACTAGATTTGTCTGTCTTGGCCTATAAGGCAGCTGGGCCTTCAATCCAAGTGTAAGAGGGATGTAAAGTCAAGTCAATAACAATTTGGTGGGTATCAAGAACTTGTATTGGGGACATTGTAAGGACTTTTGGTTTGTTGCAAGAAGTGGAACACCTAGGACACATTATACATTTGGCTAATTTCAAGAAATACACACAATTCATGTTCTCTATAATATGGGAGCATCTAAAACAGAATTGCTATACTCTTATTTTTAGCCATTTTGGCTAAAATGAGGGCAAAACGCAGCTCCAATAAACTTGCTATTTGGCTCATTACTTGGAGAACTCCCTATTTGAGTTTGGAGAGAGAAATTGAGGGCTCCATTTCTTCCTCTTATCTCTCCCTAGGCACACAACCCTCTCTCGCATCTTACTTTTTGATTTTTTTAATGAATTTTTAATTTAGAGAGGAGCACAGAGAAATAATAAAATATCAGAAATTAGCCAAAGTAGAGAACAATACTAAAGGAAACTATTTTTAAGTAGTTTGTTATAATGGCTTTCTAGTTATTTTACCTAAAATTTAGAGACTCTTGTGGAGATGCTCGTATCTTAGTGTTAACAATCTCTATTATTGCAATTTGTCTTAGTGGAACACTTAGTGATTGTAATGTATATGTTGTTAAGTTATCTTTAATACAAATATGGAAAGAAAAAAAATTCATTTCACTATCACTAAATTGATAATATGAGCCTTAATACGAGAGATTGATGTTTGACATCAATGTGAGATTGATAGTTAAGAACTATCAAAATCTAAATTGGTACCAAGTCCAGGTTCTAGGAAAAAGTTTGTCATTAGACTTTTATCTTCTAGAAAAGAAAAGATAAATGTAATATACACTTGCAAGTTGCATAGCAAGAGGAACAAAATGATTGCTAAAAGTCAATTGAAGATCCAATTAGGGAACTTCATCATACTCGGATCAAGCTTGTAGTGGGACCATATTTTTTTATACCAACCATATTGGGAGAGTAGGGGAATTTCTCTCACACACTACCAAAGTGCCAAATGAGTTTGAACCTAATATCACTTACTTACCAATAAAAATTCTTTTTCACTAAGATAGATCCTGTTAACACAGTGGGACCATGCCTAATTTTTTTTCTGTTGTAAATATCTCTTAAAAACGCATGTAATTGTGTGCAAGTTAAGTTTTAAAGAATTGTATGATATATGTATTACACTTTGCTAGAGTTGTAGTGGTATACATGCCGTAATATAATTAGAGGTTCTTGTTAGTTTTGCTTTTATGATTATAACATACTACTTATATACTAATTCATAATTTGGCCAATTTGTTTAATAAAGAGTCATGTTTGCTCCAAATGTGTATACACAGTGGCGGTTCTACAGCAAGGGCAGGGTAGGCAGCTGCCTACCCAATTTTTTCACAAAAAAAAAAAAAAAAAAAAAAAAATGTAAGCAAAGCTAATCCTACCCCATCCCATGTAATGGTGTGAACCCATGCCTACTCAAACTTAAAAGCAACCCACGTGTTATATGGCCCAGTCAAACTTAAAAAAAGAAAATGGGGGGAAACAATATAAGTAAGCAGCCAATTCCCTTTTGGTTGTGCAATAGTCGACAGTTCCAAATCATTCTTTTGCAACTTCTTCTTGAGTTTGGACATTCTCTCTTAGTAGCATTTTCTCATATCTAAGGCCAATAAGTATTCTTCTATTGGCTTTTTCCTAAAATAAATGTATACATCTTAAGTTTTTTAATAGTTTAATATAGTTTTAGATTTAAATAGTTTAATTTTTTGTTGCATTGCATTAATTTGTTTTTTAAGTTTCTTTTGTTTTGTTAAGTTTTTACATCTGATGGTAAATCTCATTACGCTCTCCTCGACTAGGTGTATTTTTTTATTTTTATGAATGAAATTCACTCGTACCGTCGAGTTTTTAAGGTAAATTTTGCATACCTGACTTTTGAATCATGGATCCGCCACTGTGCATACATAAGAAATTAAAATTTTAAATCATTTCTCATTGGAGAGTTACAAAATGATTGTAGTTTATATATATACATGCAATATTGGGGGAGGGAGAATTTCTCTCTCTCTCTCTCTCTCTCTCTCTCTCTCTCTCTCTCTCTCTCTCTCTCACACACACACACACACACACTACCTATGTCACATGAGTTCAAACTTGAGACCGTTGATCTGCAAGTTAAGACTCTTTTATACTAGATTAGACTCTGTTGACCATAGTTGTAGCTTTATGTATAGTTGATGGGATATCACACTTCATTTGTTCCATTAAAAACAAAAGAATAACATGAAAAAAAGGGTCATACATATTTACATACATATGTAGAGTTTTCTTCATAATGACATTTAGAATTTTTAAAAGCATACAAGATTTTATGAAGCATCATCTTTGATTTTTCTCATGTACAATGAGTAAGTAAGGAAATATTTTTTTAATAATTAGATAAGAAATTTATGTTACTTTGAAAGATAAGTCAAGTGTTTAGTGATTTAAGTAAAACATGTGGGAGCGAAGTAAAGAAGAAAGGGGTGCGTGGAGTTAAAACACTTTAATCTTATTTATGGCTCTCTAATTTAGTTTAAACACTTCAATCTTATTTAACGAAATGAATGGAAGATGGCGACATTGGAGAGAATGCATTGTCTATTTGGATTTTAGATGTTATATGATGAGAAAGACGACATGAGTATCATTGACTTTTGCATAAAGAAGACCATGTCAGAGAATATGTTAGGGATAAATAAATAAATAAACACACACAAAGTCGGCAAACCCTTCTTTTTTTTTCTTTTTTTATTTTGTAAAAAAAAGAAAAAGAAATCGAAGTATGTCTTTTTTTTATTATGTAAAAAGTCATTAAAAATGCTAATCGAAGTAGGTAATCTGTTTGGGTTCTTATCATGACTAATGTAAACCATGTGTATAAAGGGATAACGCGAGCTTAATTACCAATTCGATTTATATTGTTAAAAGCTTGTGCCAGTCATTAAGAACGATATGAGAATTACATTGGAAGACCTCCTATTATTTTAATTACCCTAGATTTAAGGCTATGAGTGCTAACTTTTACAAGCCGTAAATGCCGTAAAATTCAAACATGATGTAACAACTTCTATAAATAGCATGTCCACCTCTCGTTTCATGATTATAATTTTAAAGTTTTCTTATTCTAATACGAAGACAATTCTTACCATTCATGTATGAAATGTCCCGAGTGCATTCAAGCAAACTACAAATGCATATCTTCTTTGATAATCTTTTGTTTCCAACAACATACATCTGCTCAGGAGCAATTTTTGACCTTAATTGGTTCAATAATTGATCAAAGCTATTTTGAACCGACATGGAATCATTAACCATTTCAAAATGTTTATATATATTTGGACTCATTCTAAAAAACTGACCATATGCAAGTCACGTCATAGAAATTTGGATGGACATAATAGAAATGCCATAGTGGATCAACATCAAAACACAAAGTCCATGATTACACATGAATATTGTCATGTTCTCATTGAAGGTAAGTTCTCATTAAGAAGTCACATATTCCGTCTAACAAGAAGAATTTACCTACAGCCGTTCTATGAAACGGATGTTCCACGCTTGTTTGATATTTTAATTTTGGTTCAAACAAGAATGTTGGCTAGTTTTTTCTCCATATGTCATAATATATGAATTGTAAGTAAACCAAACGTTAATTTGATTAGGAGCCATGGGGTTGGACCACGAAAATACACAAACACTCGTCTTAGAGGAATTAGTGATTGTAATGTATATGATATTAAGTCTATCTTTTTTTAAAAGAATAAAAAAATTATTAGTCTAAATTAATCTAATTTACAGGAAGAGTGATTCGAACGTAGGTGCAAAGGGATGAACTCACTGCCCTTACCAACTTATCTAACCCAAATATGCGATATTAATTCATTTTTAATTGAAATGTGAAAGACACATTTTCATTTATAATATTACTAAATTGAGTATATGAGAATTAAATAGGGAGCTTTAGTAATATACCCAAAATAGGGGCTGAAATTATAAATTTTTAAAAAATAATAATAATCCCACATGGAATGCACTTTAGAAACATACCCAAAAACCGTTTACTACATAAGAAATAAGTGTTGAAATTCCTATAAATTACATGACTGCCACTCATTAACTTAAAACAAGCCCAACACAAAAAACTCAAAACAAGCCCAAGAAGCCCGAAGTACATTGTCAATATCATGTTATAAAAGTAAATTGTTAATACCATTTCATACAAAAAACTTTATATAAAAAACCCAAAGAAGCCCATCAAGACATCTGATATCCTTTACAAAAACCACCTCCAATTGTCCACAATTTCAACAAAACAATCACAAAGACAAATGAAAATACCTATACAAGGAAAAGAAAAAAAAAACATTGTTAATACTATGTCATAGAACTATCTTCCTAGTAAAAATCACATTATGTGTAACATCCCACATCGACCAACGGAGAATGGGTGATATGCTTTATATGTACATGCCCGCCTCCATCTAGCACGAGGCCTTTTGGGAGCTCACTAGCTTCGGAGTCATGGGAACTCCGAAGTTAAGCGAGTTGGGGCTAGAGCAATCCCAAGATGTGTGACCTACTGAGAAGTTGCTCGTGAGTTCCCAGAAACAAAACTGTGAGGGCAGAGAGGGGCCCAACAAGGACAATATCGTGATACGGAGGAGCTGATCCCAGTATGTGACAATTTGGTATTAGAGCCATTCTGCCGTGTGGTGCGCGAGTGTGCTGACGAGGACGTCGGGCCCCTAAGAGGGGTGGATTGTAACATCCCACATCGACCCGGGATGTGACATTCTGCATATCATAAACTTCAAGTACATAGCTATATATAGAGCAAAACATAAAGCACACTTTGTTACTGAAAATATGTATAACAACTATTCATACCACTTAAGATAACAAATTGTATACTACAAATCAACTTACCAGCTTTGGTCATTCCAATACCACTATCAATAATAGTCAAGGTATTGTTGTTTTTGTCGGGGATGAAGTGGACGAAGAGCTCTGGCTGACCATCGAGCTTGCTCTTGTCAATCAAACTCTCAAATCTAATCTTATCAAGAGCCTACAAACAAAACATGACATAATGAGCCAAAGGAAATTTAATTCAAACAGAATCATTTGACCACTCAATTAGATGGTTATTATTATAGTATTTTTTTTGAAGCACCGTGTTCGTCTATTTTGTTGGTCACAATTAAATGCCTTAATGATTTTCAATTTGCATGCTTTTTTGCAAGGATGATATATGAATGAAGACTTGAAAAATAAACAGTTTGGATCGTTGAAAAAAAATCGTAGGGTATTTAAGGGATCCCTAAATATAAGGGGACTATATCCCTCAAATTTAATTGAAGGACGCCTTTTAGGGTCTTTACAAATTATTATTTTTCGACGATCCAAACCGTCTTTTTTTAAAGTTTTTATTCATAGTTCATTCTTGCAAAAAATTAGACAAATTGAAAACAGTTTCAGCATCTAGTTGTGACCAACAAAATAGACGAACACAATTATTCAAGAAAATACTAAAATTACAATTATTAATTGAATTGTCAAATGATGTCAGATTCAATTGATCTTTTGCAGAGATGATCTTTGAAGGAATATCTACAAGATAGACAATTCATATTTTTGAAGTACAATGTGGAGTTAGCCCACAAAACGTTTGTGGAGTCCACCATGCATTGTCTTTTAATGATCCGAACTGTCTAATTTTGAGATATTTCCTCAAAGATCATTTCTGGAAAAAATCACTTGGATGACTTGAGTGAGGGGTAATGGTTAGAGTTGCATGTTTTTGTATTACATTTCTGTCTGGTTTTATTGATGATGCTTACAATCAGACCAAAAAAATTTGATGATGCTTACAATTGGGATGACCTGAGTGAGGGGTCACGACACGACTCGCATATATACAATTGGAGGACCTGACGAACTCTTGTGTTTGGGTATACTGTGAAATATAACCATGAAAATGAAAAAATCTCCCTGCCTTATCATGCAAGTTGGATTAAATCGATGGTAAAGGTACGTAGTCGGCCTTTACCCAACCTTCAAGTAGGGTAAGATGAAAATATACCATAGGTATTTTGTGCTTAATTTCACTTACATTTCAACTTGGTGCTTTCAATTCAATTTGAATCTCATTATGTGTGTGTTTTTTTAATATATAAAGAATACAAGGGATCATGGTCCATTTAGGAGATGCATAGATTCTGAATAATAAATTGATGAAGAAAGGCTGGCTTTGATGAAAGCAAGCAAGCACATGAGGCTAAAATCTTCAAGAATTGAATGTAAAGAGAAGAAAACTTGCACGACAGGGAAACCGCATCACCTCAAAAGGACCTGTTTGATTCGTTTAGTTTGCCTAACATTTGACTCTCCTCCTCCTCCTAGTTCTTAAACCAGACACACAAACATTAAAAAACTAGATACTGCACATTTAAATATAGTAACAAGTACTTACAGCCATGTTGACATTTGATGTCATGATCCTATAATAATAAGACACGACGGGTTACATCCAAAGGAGAAAAAAGAAAGGTGATATGTAATAATTTCTACTTTTAAATTGCTTATCCCAACCTCTTAAAAATTTGTTTACATTATCTCTGCATCAAAGGCTATGTGAAAATACCTGCAGGATGACTCAAAATGCCTAGAGGAGGGTGAATAGGCCAATTTAAGATTCTAATCAAATAAATAAAAATAAACTTTGGTAGCAGGATTGATATGGCTTATCAATCCTGTAACGTGCTGGGCATAAAATAAAAGAACACGCAGAGAATTATTTTACGTGGTAAAACCCCACCTTTGGGGAAAATCCACGGGACTCCTCAGTCCAACACAAATCCACTATAGAACGATGATTACAAGAAGTACTCACACACTTATCCTAGACACATTCTAGATAATGTTTACCGACTTCTTCGTAACTCAACTTCTGTCACGGGATGATCTTCGACACTCCTTATGTTGAACGCAATACTGGCCACGATTGCTTCAAGCTCACCGGAGGAAAACCGCCACCACGGTCTTGGTGCCCTCAACCGTATGAGTCACCGACGTGCATATGAATGCAATATGAATGATTAAAGTGTTTGATAAATCACCAAGTAAACATTGAACACTTGATGATTTATCTCAAATATACGCACAGCAGCTTTTCTTAGAATTCTATATGCTCAAAACAAATATCTCAAAAGCTGTACAAATAAAAGAATGGCACATGATCTTTTATACAAGACTTGTTATCTCTCAAGAGAGAGAAACCTAATAGGCCACGAATCTTCAATTTCCTATTGCACCACAACCTATCATCAATAAGAGATTTGATTCACTTTGGACTCAAAGTAATGACGCCTCTCTTTAAACCAAATTAACTAAGAGGTGAGCAACAAGCAAAGTCACAATAGGAAAATATAATATTTTAACTTTAATTAAAATAGAGTTGAACTAGGAAAGTAATCTCAAGAGATAAAATCTAATCTTATTAAAAATAAGATTAAGATAAAAATATTTTGAGTGAAAATAACTCAAACTAGGAATCCTATAATGAATGCATGATTATGTCATGATTTACCTGAAATCAGATTCCTCATATCGGTCAAGTCATGCTTTGGAAACCTGAGATTGAATGTGTTGCGCCAAAACGTCTAGTAAACGATATTCACACACTAACTCCCAACCTATGCTAAAGTCTAGGAAATGACAATACAAATTTCATACTAACAATCTCCCCCTTTGGCATTTCCTAGACAAAACACCTATTACAACTCAAAAGAAATTACATGGGATTTAACAAATGAATTCTTATTCTAAGCTTGAAGCCCTGAATCCCTGCACATTATGAAACAACAAAACCAGTGAAGCATGTGGGAGAAGAAATGTAATTCAAAGCAGAATTACAACACAACTCCCCCTTAATTCCATAACACAATCTCTCCCCCTTAATTCCATAACACAATCTCTCCCCCTTAATTCCACAACACAATCTCTCCCCCTTTTTGTCAGGAAATCCAAAGGGCAAAGAATGAACATAAAGGAGCATATATAAGAGGGAATAAAAAATAAAAAAAAATCAGATTGCATTCCCAGCATGTAAGAGGCTTTTTCTTGAAAACAAACAGAATTATTTATTTTTTTTTTGGGATAAGCGACAGGAAAATAGAGAAATAATGAGAAGTTGTTAAGAACCAAAACATACAAAAACAAAAGCAATACACTCAAGACAGAAAGCTCAAAACAATCAAGACATAAAACATACTGTAGATGCAGACCCAAAGTTCTCTTGAAGATATAATTATTTTCCATTCATAAACATGCCAAGTTTGTGGGTAAAGAATGAAAGAAGCAACAAACCCTTTGCTGTCTTGAACGCATGTGAAGCAAAGCATGTCAGGGACAAACACACGACAGCACACAAGACTCACAAACTCACAGAGAACAGTAGAGGCATACCACAGTCATGGTGAAAGATAAAAAGGCATCAAATGAGTCTACCATCAAGGAGCAAATGTGTTAAATGAACTCTTTTTCAATTAAGCACAAAAAATATGTCCACACAAGACGAATCCCACCAAAGATTGCACAAACACTAAGTGCATAGTAAGTATAAGAAGATCAATTTATATATATATTTTTTAATACGAATTTTGTGGCTCACTTTATCTAGCTTTCGACATGATCCATGTAACGGATGGTCAATCAGTGTGCTTACGTCAGATGACTGGAGGCAACTGGGTGATGAAGCACCCCTGGGGAAATACTGATCCGAATCATGAAGGCTCCAAAGATAAGCAAGGATAGCAAACCATCACAACCTGTTGACTCGAACCTCGACGTTGGTTAGACAAGAGGCCCGGTTACTGAGCAATGAGTGGTTGACACCTTTTTTTTTTTTTTATTTTTTTAAATTTTTTTTTAAATTTATAAACAGATCAAGAACTTACGCACAGTAGTGTTATGGCAATCCAAAGAGAGACAAGTGCATGATAAGAGATATTCAAAGGACTTCAAGGAAAAGAGTGTGGTGTGCAAAATAAAAATAAATAGATGGATAGATCATTTAATGAAGTTTATAATGCACCAAGACAATGGAAACCTTTGTGTGAAGCTGAGAGTGTAAGTTCTTAATATAGTGCAATGTCAGAGCCCAATCTAAGATCAACAAATACGTTCAGACAGTTACAGGATTGATACACCTTAACAATCCTTGCACGAGCTGGACAGATTTATAAACACAGAAATTAATTGAAATATCATAAAACATGAAAGAGGCTTTGGCATGCAATAGACTCCAAATTAATCTAGAGCACATATACCTAAAGACTTTCTAAGAGTGTCAAATCGAAGATTATCCAAGGGTTTTGCAGCAATACATTTAAGATCCAAACTTTCTAAAGCAACGGGTTCATGCACAACATTAGTGGAGGAAGACATACAATTATGATTTTCCTTTTTCCTCCAAACTAACTTTGTCTTAGTTGACGGCAAACAATGAAAAGAAGATAGTTTGGATAAGCGGTTTACCTCTTTCATAAGATGTGAAATCTTATGTTGGATACTTACTTTTCCACCCATGCCATGAGAATTTGAACGAACAAATTCGTTTCGAAGCTTATTGCATCTCGGTCTTATGTGCCCACGAGTTCCACAAAAGTGACAAATTGGAATAAATTTCTTGACTTCATGAGAGGCAGAAGGTTCAATAGGTGAAGTGGATTTGACAAACTTTGTTTTAGACACAGCGGAAGACTTATTACTTGGTTCAAATCCCAAGCCTCGTTTGTCACCATCTCTTCGTCCCATGCTAATCATCTTGTCAATTTTTTCTGCACCAATGGTTAAAGAAACAATCCTTTCTTTTGAATTTTTAAGTTCAAGTTCAAGGGCTTTGTTGTCAGAAGTTAGAGAAGCAATTAATTTATTCTGATCAGTCAATTTTTTCTGCAAAAACATCAATTTTTCGTTCATACCTGCACTTACCTTTTCGGAATCTGCATCAGGGGATTGAAACTCGTTTGCAATCCTGCAATTTTCCAGCTTCAGCACAGCAACTTCTTTGACGAGCTCACTATTTTGTTTACTGAGCTTCTGAGATGCAGCCAACAAATCATCATATTTGTTCATGATAAACTCAATATTTATACCTTTACAATCATCATCCTCACGTGATTCATCCAAGCTAACTGTGGTTATAAGTGCAACCGTCTTTTCATCATTCTCGAATTCCGATTCACTATCACTCCAAGTAGTATGCATTGCCTTATTCTTGCCATCCATTTGTTTCTTTAAGGTGTTGGCACATTCCGAAGATATGTGTCCATAGCCTTCACATTCGAAACATTTGACCTTTTCTCTTGGATTCTTTCGTTCATTTAACCTGCGAAATTTAGATCCACCATCAGTATAGTTAACAAACCTTTTTTTAGAATTTATACCTTTTGAATCTCGACTCCTTGGATCCTGATTCTTGAGAAAGTTCATGAATCGTCTTGTGAGAATCGTTAATTCCTCATCACTGCAATCTTCATTTGAATGCTCATCATCTTCTTCATTCACAACCTTGAACGCAACATTTTTGCTCTTTTTAAGAGGTAGATGTTTCATCTCATAGGTTTGTATGGACCCTATGAGTTCTTGAACTTTCAAGGTGTTCAAGTCACGGATCTCTTCAATAGCCGTGATCTTTGGTTGAAACCGTTGAGGCAAGGATCTCAAAATCTTTTTCACAACTCTATCTTCTGGAATTTTTTCACCTAAACCTGAACAAGCATTCACAATTACACAAAGTTTAGCATAAAATTCAGAAAAAGTTTCATTCTCATCCATCATAAGTGTCTCAAACTGTAAAGTGTGCATTTGAAGCTTGGCTCCCTTGACAGTATCTGTTCCTTCATGAGTAACCTGCAAAATATCCCAAGCTTCCTTAGAAGTATCACAAGCACATATATATTCAAATTGATCGGAAGAGACAGCAGTAAATAAAGCATTTAACCCCTTTTGATTATTAGTGCTGTGTGTGACTTCTGCAGTGGTCCACTCCTCTCTAGTTTTGAGGACTGTGGTTTCTTCATCTCCTTTTCCGATCGTCTTTGTGGGTTTAGGAAATCCATGAACCACTGTGCTCCATACACGTTCATCTAAGGACCAAAGAAACGACTTCATTTTGGCCTTCCAAGCGCCATAGTTGTTGCCATCGAAATATGGTGGATGTGCAATTGAGCCCGAGGCACGATCCATCCTAAGGTATGTTAGATCTTGCTGAGTATGTCCAGCAACCTGCTCTGATGCCAATTGAAAATACCTGCAGGATGACTCAAAATGCCTAGAGGAGGGTGAATAGGCCAATTTAAGATTCTAATCAAATAAATAAAAATAAACTTTGGTAGCAGGATTGATATGGCTTATCAATCCTGTAACGTGCTGGGCATAAAATAAAAGAACACGCAGAGAATTATTTTACGTGGTAAAACCCCACCTTTGGGGAAAATCCACGGGACTCCTCAGTCCAACACAAATCCACTATAGAACGATGATTACAAGAAGTACTCACACACTTATCCTAGACACATTCTAGATAATGTTTACCGACTTCTTCGTAACTCAACTTCTGTCACGGGATGATCTTCGACACTCCTTATGTTGAACGCAATACTGGCCACGATTGCTTCAAGCTCACCGGAGGAAAACCGCCACCACGGTCTTGGTGCCCTCAACCGTATGAGTCACCGACGTGCATATGAATGCAATATGAATGATTAAAGTGTTTGATAAATCACCAAGTAAACATTGAACACTTGATGATTTATCTCAAATATACGCACAGCAGCTTTTCTTAGAATTCTATATGCTCAAAACAAATATCTCAAAAGCTGTACAAATAAAAGAATGGCACATGATCTTTTATACAAGACTTGTTATCTCTCAAGAGAGAGAAACCTAATAGGCCACGAATCTTCAATTTCCTATTGCACCACAACCTATCATCAATAAGAGATTTGATTCACTTTGGACTCAAAGTAATGACGCCTCTCTTTAAACCAAATTAACTAAGAGGTGAGCAACAAGCAAAGTCACAATAGGAAAATATAATATTTTAACTTTAATTAAAATAGAGTTGAACTAGGAAAGTAATCTCAAGAGATAAAATCTAATCTTATTAAAAATAAGATTAAGATAAAATATTTTGAGTGAAAATAACTCAAACTAGGAATCCTATAATGAATGCATGATTATGTCATGATTTACCTGAAATCAGATTCCTCATATCGGTCAAGTCATGCTTTGGAAACCTGAGATTGAATGTGTTGCGCCAAAACGTCTAGTAAACGATATTCACACACTAACTCCCAACCTATGCTAAAGTCTAGGAAATGACAATACAAATTTCATACTAACACTATGTTCTTGTTGCTGTGCACTTCATATAGAAATGCTCATAGTGGAACAACACCAAAACACATGCTCCATGATTACACGATCATCATATAGCCATATTAATGTGGTCATGTTGAAGGTAAGCTCTCATTGAAAAGTCACATTTTCTGTTGAAAGAAAGATACGTGCTTACGTTTGTTTCATGAAACGGATGTCTCACACTTGGTATATCATATGAATGGCACACGGATTATACGGGTGTAGGCAACTTCTTCTCCTGCATAAGATATTCCATTTCTTTTTAAAGCCTTTTACTCCATGGGCGGTGATGCGATGGGCAGGCGTGGTGGTAAGTCTAGTTGGAAAACACTGCCTCGGACAATGGTATAAGAATAAAGAAGAGATTATTATTCTATGAACCCTTGATTTTGATTGATAGATAATTTTTTATTTCTAAAAAAAATTGCTGGTGTAGAAGAAGTCTGATGCAGAGCCAATAGCTGAGCAAGTTACAAGTAAAAGCAAGGATAATTTATTATATTCAGTCACTAGACCTAGCAAATTGAATGATGTTGCAACATCATCACTCCTACAAAAATAGCCAAGGGCTCTCCATGCGCATCTTCTATTTTATACAACTTTCCCCATCTCATAATATTATTGTTTGTCCATATTTAATTGTCCTTTCTTTTTCTTTTTTCTTTTTTGGTTTTTCAAAACAAACAGATGAACATAAAATACCCCAGCAAAAAGAGAAAAAAGAATAAAAGAAAGAATAAATTCTCTGTAAATTCCATGGATGACTTATTATGAATTTATGAAAAGACCCCACCAACCAATGATCTCAAAACAGGCAGAGCATCAACCAACAAGCTAACTTGGGTTTCACCGGCAACAACAGGTAGAAGATAAGCAAGATGGGCCCAAGAGTTCTATATTTACTAATATAATGCACCATGATAAGACATAACCCATCAATAATTGAATTTTATATCTGTACTTGATCATCCTGCAAAACCAGAAAAATACTTATACGACTAGAGCATCATTCTATTTCTGGTTAAGCCATAGCCCCCACCAACAATATAGTGCAACTTCTTCTTCCTCATCCACTGCTTCTTCTTCTTCTTCCTCTTCTTTCTGTCACATAAGATCAATGGCTGCAACATGTTGCTTCTCTCCTTGTATCCCAACCCAAAAATCTGGTCCAGCAATAAGGCCTTTCAGCAGAGTTTTGAGGCTCAAACACTGTCAAGTTTCTGTCAAGATCAAAAGCTCTACACTCAAGATCAGATGCTCCTTGAGAGAAGAGGTCAGTATTTTTTTTTCTCACTAATTTTCCTGTTTCCAGTCACTGAGGCAAGAATTTTAAATGCACAACTACTTTTTTTCACAGAAGACGACCTTGAAAATCAGCATCAGTCACCAACTTTTTTTTTCTTTTCTAAAACAAAATGGGGTGAAATGGGATTTGTTCAACAAACATTTCTTGTTAAATATCTGATTGTATTTTTTTTTTCTTTTCTTGTTACAGGTTTTTGAGGATCGGTCCAATGGAATTATTTGCTACAAAGATGACAGAGGTGAAATAATTTGTGAAGGATTTGATGAGGGTCCTAGATATTATCACCAACAGAATCCAAGAACAGGTTGTCAACCCAGGTAGATGATCAATTAATCATAATCTTAATCACAATCTTAACACAATTAAGCATGGATTATGAAATTGATCACCTAGTTTACTTTAGGCTCATCTGATTATTTACTGGTTTTGGTCAAGTTCAGCAGAGACGCTGAGATCTTTGATCTACTTCAACAACAAAGGTGGCTTAATTTTATCACAGACACAGAATTAAACCGTGCTGATAAAGGCAGTGTTCTGCAAGAGGACATCAAAAACTGCAATGGCTTCAACACTCACCGCTAATCAGCTCAACCCAAGTGTCAAGTCTCTTGTCAAATCATATAAAATGGTTCCACAACTTTAATATGCCCCCAATTATAATTATGTAACATATATATAAAGAAAGGCATATCCTTCAATGAATCATATAATTGAATATCATGCATATGCATAAATGCAATGTCTTTGAAGCACATTCTTTTTTCTTTTTTCTTCTTTTTTCCCAGAATGTAGAGGGTCAAATTCCCAACACTTTCTCCTTCCCTGATATATTTTCAAAGGACCCACAAGTGTAGGGATTTGGAGTAATTGCTTATGAGTTTGAGTTTTAACATCCGTGTAATGTGTTAGAAAACAAAAGGGTCTATAAGAAAATCAGTTCACTAATTCACTCATTTCAATAAGCAATTACATGGATAGTAAAAGATAATATAAATTTATATTTTCTTTTCTTTTTGGTGTTCTTTGACCAAGCCCTATGCCTGGGTTTTCTTAACGACATTTGACTAGAACTGTCCTTTATTTATGTCAAGATATGAGCAATCCTTTTAGTACTGGAACAGCTGCAGGTCCACTGGCAGATATGCAGTCCACAAGCTTTTCACTTTTAGACTCGGAAGTCATGGTTCTGGTCACCAGTTTAAAAAACACACAAGGGCACGCATGCACATAGAGACTGAGCCACATGAACCAACAAACCAAACTTTGGAAGAGAGCAAAATTGAATTGCAAATTAACATCAATCTAATGTACAGATATACACGACTAAAAGATTCACTGAATATAGATGTTGTAATGCTAAATACATCAAGAATCATATTCCTATAAGGATTTCATGGAGAGGTCATCCAATTATACATCCCCGACCAAAATTTCCATGGCTTCGACGGCCTTCTTCTGCATCTTCTAACAAAATAATCATGAATTTCTCTATGACCAAAAAAAAAAATCATGAATTTCTCATGCAAAGATGAAATGCAAATGATACTGCTATACAAAAGAATTGGGATATCAAAAAAGAAAGGAAAATGAATGAATGATGAAAAAATGAAATCATGTGGCAGGGTCAATTCCTGAATCACATCCTTTAAATGTACACGTGGACTGACTCACAGTGTCATTCAACCGAATTACCACCATGTGCATCTTCGCCAAAATCAGAATGGGATGTACTTGGAACAATAGAGGGAGGAGACCACTGATCTGGAACCATCAAAAAGTAGGTTGTCATTGCTTTCCTGAACCTTTTCTTGTATTGCTTCGGTGAAATTACAGTTGGAGATGCGTTCTTTGGTCCACCAAGGATACCTGAAGCTTTAACCCAAGTTTCAAGGTGCTTATCCCATGTGTACTGCCTCATAAAATCAATGATTCCAAGTACTAACTCATGCTTCTCTTCATCCACCCCAACCAGTAATGAATAATCCATTACATCAATTGACTGCATCAGCACCGGTAAAGACATTAGAATGGGTAAGGGATTAATCTATGTTTAGTACACACTATACGGGAATACAGGATACCCCAATCAGAACATGCTCATACAAGGCATGCAAGTGCACACAAAAAGAGGAGAGTTTTAAAACTTACAGCAAGAAAAGCAGTGTCATTCCAGACAGCTCTCTCCAACAAACGTTTTGCCTTGTTTCCCACAAATATTGGAGATGTCGGCATTGCTTCAATCAAGTTCTGATCCAGCAGAACTTTGTTGCTCCCACTAGAATCAGGATTGTAACGAGACCGTGAAGATCCTTTGAGATCATAGAGCCGTGTCACATTCCTTCCAAATAGAAGATTCTCCATAACCAAAACATCTGTCTTTGATTCTTTCCCTCCCTTAAGATGCTTTGATGTAACCTTTCAATACAAATGCAACCACAGAAAGAGTAAGTATCAAGAAAAATAATGTAGCTGATGCAGCAAGATACGGTATCAATATCTAGTAGTTGCAGTAGTAGTAGAAAATAGTTGTTACTAAAGTTGTCAGGTTAATCTGACTAGAATAGTTGACAGCTTTGGAGGTTAACACAGAAGTACCTGATATATCCCCAGAATCTTTGCTAGGCATGTTGGACTTCCTGTGCCAATTGATTCAGATAGGTACTTGAAATATCCCGGAGCGAATTTTATGAAAGATTCCAGCTCTGTCTTGGTGACTTGTTTGATGATAAACCGGTCATCCGAGGTTTTAGCAAAAAAGACATTGCTCTTCCCACCTTGGGCTCCCCACTTTTTACAACGACTAAGGGATCTTACAAAGTCAAGCTCAGAAGGACAACAAATCCTCCTTAAGGCTTCAAAACGATGTGCATAGTAACATGTCACAGAGTATTTAACCTTACCAAGTGGGCCATCATCTCCAAAGGAAACTCTTGCATGCAAAGCCTTTGTATACGAAAGCGGATCCAAACCCAGGGAGTTACGAGATCCAGATAAAGATAAAATGCTTTCCTCAGTAGACCCGAAGCTTCGATGAGATTCAGAAGCTGTGTCATCATCAGGATGGTGTGACTGCATAGTCAGTGAATCAGAAAAACTAGCATCCCCCTCATCACATGTTTGCAAATGATAATCTGGTGATACAAGGGCATAAGCTATAAGACTTGTGGGCTCATCATCATATACAGGGACAACAGTATCATTAACACCCACGGGAAGAAGCAGCCTTGCCCCACCTTCCAGTTCCAACTCCCGAAAGGATGAAACATAGACTGGATTGTATTCACCAAGTGTGTCAAGCTTCTGAGCAGCAGATAAAAAATTCTTATTGAACCCACGATAGAAATTTAAAAAGGGCATTTTTAACCAGCTTACAGAGTCTTCCAAATTCTCAGACCCCTTGGTTGACAATGCAGGTGAAACAGAATGGGCAACCTTGGGACCATTCTGGTATTCTGCATGGTCTAAATTTAATCCCTCTTTCACTGGAGAGGCATTTGAATCTGCCATTGCTAAAACAGGAACTGCACAGGTATTGTCCTTTGCTATTCCAATTCCACTTTGATTTTCACCGGTCCATGCTGTGTCAAGGGTATCTGACAAATCCATTATAGGAAACTGGCCATCAGAGAGAGTCCTACGCATACTTGTCCTTGGTTTCAAAGGTTCGGATTGATCACAGATGCTCACTTCACCAGGGAGATTAGCTTGATCTTCTTTTTCATTATTTGAATCTTGACCAATGTCTCTCTCTTTGTAAACCATGTCAGTATCGGCAGTGCTACCAAAGTCTCCTCCATGGTCAAATTCTTTGTTAAGCATTGCATCCACTAGAAAGGAATCACAACTATTATAACATTTTCCTGGCTTTATTGCCACATTCATATCAGCAATATTTCCATTATTAACCACAGGTTTCCGCTCATCGGGAACTGAGCTGTTCAAACCGTCCTGGAGGCTGTTGTTATCTAAATTGGCTGCATAAATCAAGCGGTGGTCCCACATATAAGATTGGAAAAGTAACTGCCTTCGCAATCGATTGATCTCCAGAATGTCAATAACAGGTTGTCCCTTTCTAGCTTCCCTGTTCAAAGTTTTTTGGAGTAATTCCTAAAAAAAGCGTCAACAAAAATATGATAAGCCAATTATCAAAAAAAAAGAATTTATTTCATATAGAAAGACTGGTTAGAATACCATCTTCATCGACAAGACTATATTGATGTAAATGAAACTATAAAACCTACAAGATTATACATAAAAGTGACAAGAAAGTTTTGTGACAATCAAAGATACTTCCATCACTCATGTTACATTAAAGGAGCTTGTAGATGAATCAGAATGCATATAAGGAACTTGATTGATAAAGTATTATATCTGGTTCATCCAGATAATGTGCAGTGGAAAAGAAAAGGAAAAGAAAAAGTCTATATATATCAACTAGCCATGCATAAAGCTTAGATTCTTGACATGAAATTCAGTAACTAAGGCTTGGCACATGAATAATTGAAGGCCTCACCTCAAATTCCACCTTCTCCTTTTGTAACATTCCTTCCAGTTCCACAATTTGGTGCCTAGATTCAGGTGTTACCATGCCACTAGTATATGACCCTGAGCCAGATCTTTTCTCCACAATTTGACGAAGAGCATTAAGTACTTCAGAAAAAAGAAGCTCTGCCCGTTCAACAACCTAATATAACCAGATAAACAAATCAGCTACATAAAGCAATAATGGAATGCAATCATGAAATATCCAAATATATGGCAATTGTACCTCATCTGTTTCTTTTTGTATCCATTCCTGCTTCTCATAATTGAAATCCAGTTTGGCAGGTGGAAGGTAGACAGAATGAACATCAATTGATGCATACCGAAAGCAAGCAACCATTTTCCCAAATCTGCATGAGTGCACATTGACAGTGAGAGAGAGAGAGAGAGATTTTTAGGAAATTATCATTCAACCCGCATATCAGTTTGGTATGTGCTAGTCGTGTGACTACTTGACTGACCATGACGAAGTTATTTTTAGCATATACTTGAAATTTAACGAGAGATGATAAAAGTGGGAGGCTAACATCGTCCAACTGAATTATGCATAACCAACAGAGTCAGGTTCAACCCAACACACCGAAGAAAAAACTATCATATCAATCATATTGTAATTTGTATGTTACCACATTTTCAAATTATGGGAGACAGCGAAAGTACCCATAGAAACGAAGACAATCTCTATGTAAGGAATGGCCACAGCTCGCCACCCTGCTTGCAGCCGCATGGTTTGAAAAACTGAGCTCCAAAAACTTCCCAAATGATAAACCCCATGCAGCATCAGACATCACTATTCTGCGAGTAGCCGGAGGGAATCCATTGATCCTTGGACACCTCAAGCATCTGTGCCACATCCAGATCCTTCCTTCCTTCTCACCAGGTAAGAGAATTTCTGGTAGCTTCTTAACAGATATAGTGAGTGTACCCTGTCGATGAGTATAACAATGAACATGTGCTTCTGATGGCATCTCGCAAGAATGGCATTGATAACTCTGACATATAGTTAAGCGTTTTCAGTTTCAAGTTGTATCGCAAAGTTCCAAAAAAGAAAGAACATAAAAGTCAAAAAGAACTCACCAGATCAAATAAATGGTCCCGTAAAAACCGTCCTAAAGGTTTATCAAAACTGCCATAGTATTTTATTCGAAACAGATGAGACCTCTCACAGACAGTCCCCTTCCACACGCACCGGGATGACAAGGAAACCAAAATGCTCTGATGGTCAGAAGGTGATGGAGGAAACTCTTCATTCATAGGTTCTGGGTCCTCAACCTGGGTATTACCATCTTGATGAAGCAATGAATTGTCTGAACTACCTAGTTGATTTCCAATACTTACACTCTGATCATTTTGGGTGTTGGCCAAGATACCTTGTCCCAAAGCCTCTAAAGGCCTCATGCTATTGACAATGAGATGATTAGACATCATATCAGAGCCATTTTTTATTGCAGAAGCTTTCACCACCGAAGATTCTTTAGAACCCATTTCATTTTGATCATCAAATATGTGGTAAGGAGAAAGACTATTATGATAAGAATCTGAAACATTCCCAGACGCGGCAGAGTATAAAGCAGTAGAATTGGTGAAACGTGAAGTGGGATGCGTGGGTAGAGAGGTACGACCACTAAGTACACAAGGCTGTATACTGTTAATGGCTGAATTCAAATCTGAAACTGGGACACTGTTGGATCTTCGTGGCTCATTGTGAGGTTGAACTCCCAGAGACTGTCCATTGACAGCAACACTAAAACCAGGTACTGTTGAGATGGACCTCTCAATGCTTGATGTTTTATCTGGAAGTGCCACAGTTATTGGAGAATTTAATGGGAGCTCCGGCAGAGAGGCTCCTTCATCAGCAAGGAATGATGTCTCCAAACCCAAGTGATATGCCGCGAAAATCCCATACTGAACCACATGCTTCACTTTTTTCAACTCATCCCCATTAGCACCTCTAAGTAAAATCTGGAATGGCATAGACAAGATAGATAAATGAATACGTCACAGCATTGCAGAATTGCATGTACAGTATAAAAGGATAACAAATTTGTTGAGTGTCATATTAAAAAAATCTTCATAAATAGGTGTAGTTGGGGAGTAGCCTGAGACCACAATTCTGCGGGTCTTGGCAAAATGATCAGGAACCACTACCCGCAAACAACTGATAGCCATCATCTTTGTGGATGGATGCGTGCAACCATGCTATTTATAAGCCTTTTGAACTTTTACCTTATTCAATTTGTTATAAAGTGATCATGGTCCCTATCATATGTTAGTTTTGAGGACTTACAGTACAACCCAATGGCTTTGGGCAGCCTTCAAAATACATCAATGTCTTCACCAGTTTTTTCCCACCCTGACCGGCAGAACCAAGATCTTCCAGGAACCTCTCCACATGAAATAAATCGCAGTAGCCCAACTTTTGTGATGAGAGATGATCAATTGACGGCACTATCTGAGCACCTGTGCAGCGAGCTACGCGCTCTAAAAGTGGCCTCTTGATATTCAGAACAAGTGATATGTCTTTTGCAAGAAGATATTCCTGAGCATATCGAGAAACTGATTTCTCTACAAGAAGGACATCTGGTTGGTGTGCATCGATCTTTGCTACCGCCATCTTTAAGTGGTCCATCTCCTAGAAAAGGATATAAGCGCATAAGAATGATTTTGTTTTGGTAATTAAGGAAAAAACATAGTTTCCAATGCACTAGAGACCATCAAGTGAAAAACTAAGAGGAGAGAAGATTAGACAATCACAACCTGCTGCAACAGAGTATCAAAACTTGACAAGAGGTTAGACACACGCTGGTACTCAAGAGCGCCACCAAGGATCATAAACCGAGGTTTCTCTATTTTTGATGTCATTCGTCGATGAGCCACATTTTTCTTACACACAACTCCTTTGACCACCATACTAGAAGAAAAGCAATTAAAACCTTAGAAAACAAACAACCTTTTCAAAGCTTCTACAGCAACAATATTCTTTATATTTTGATTCAGAGGACGGGGAGGGCAATAGTCAAATCCATAACACTGGAGCTATAATTCCCCACATATCAACTACAATAAATACACACATTTGAATTAAAGTGCAGGATTTTCTTTCTTTTTTCGATTAAAAAAAAGTTACTCGTCAGTACAATCTAAGTAGGCATAAATTCACGGATCACATGACAATGGCACGTGCAATTTTTCTTCAAACTCGTCAGTACAATCTAATGCAGGGTTTCTTTCTTTTTTCCCCTCAAACTCGTCAGTACAATCTAAGTAGGCAGAAGCTCAAAAACAGAAAATATTACAGACCTACAACTATGAACCGGACAGTATCATATCCAAGAACATCCCTAGCAGTTTAATTCATGTTAAATATGCATTGCAATAATTCATAAGAACAAATCCACTTAAAAAAGTAGAGAAAACTTAGCTCTATTCATTAAATATGAAGTAAGAAGTAGAGATTGAATAGTCTTGCATTCATAGAAAAGAAACACCGGTACCTTTTGGATCTAAATAGAGAATTCTCTTTAAAATGATTATTGAAATAACTCTTCTTTTGTTATTACAAAGTGGATAACTATGCAATAGTAATTTGAGCTCGTATAGCTTCACCTGTGTTTAATTTATCATTCTTGCAGAAAAATAAAGCCATTAAATCAATGATGTGTAGTAGAAGTATAAATGACATATCCAAATCATAATGCACCATTTACCTATCGCATCGAGATCCAGAAGCTATGCATTTAACTTTTACATAACCACCTGGGTCCATCCCTCCACCTTTGCTCATATCTGGCTTTAATAGTGTAGCAGCCTCCCAAGACAGAGATGTAATGATCTCCAGCCAACCTTCACTTTCTCCTTCCTGGCCGATAGGAAGGTTCTCAACCTGCAATAGCTGAGCTACCAAAGCCCTAAAGTGTCCATCAACCACATTCTTCATGGCCCTCTTGTGCTCCTCACCTGACCGGTCCCGATTGCGATACTCCCCACTTCCAAAACTGCTTGATGCACGTAAACGCCCCCACTCTCCTGTAGCATCACCATCATCATCATCATCAACCAAAACTGTTTCCCTTTCATCTTCTTCATCTTCTGGTTCCGGGGGGAGCCAGAGCAGTCCATTGTTCTCAAAATCCACAGGTTCTGCATCAATATCCCCTGGAGAATATAATGAGGAAGATGCCTCACATTCATCACCAGTATCATGCTCATCTTCTTTTTTTCCAAGCTGTGGGATTTCCTCCAAACTCTGTGAGTCAAAACTGTGAAGTAATGAGGAGCTGCTTAAATTCTTTGCATCAATATTCTCACCATCAGGATGCACCTTATTTGATCCATCGTCATTGCTCATCTCATCAAACTCAATGTGACTAAAGTAGTCATTGGCATGAGGATAATTCTTCGAATCTGACTGATATACACCATACTCAACATCATCATCATCACTCCTGATGACAAATAATAAATAACCAATTAGTAGCTACTAGCTGCTAACAACACTACTAAGTATATATCAATTTCTAAGCTTAAATAACAGATAAACTTTTTAATTTTATTCGTTGTTATCTTCTTCTAAATTATGCATAGAATCAGGATCACCAATAACTTAAAATGCAGCTCACAATTGGAGTAATAATAACAAGAAGTTTCTGGATGAAAGAATATGTAAACAAGGGCTTTAGACATGTCCTAGTGTGGATCCAACATGAAGCACAAAGGAGATACAAACCGGGTTGTTGAAATTTCATAATGGTTTGTCGATGGATCCCCTATATCTGCTACAAAATCATTGCTTCTCCAGGATGTGAATTTGCTTTGCTTTTCTGTGCTAGTACTCATTAGAGATGATTGACACGGGCTAAAACCAGGACTATGTTGGTGTCGTTGACATGGTCCAGCTGAATATGGCATTGAGTTAAGAGTGAAGCTACTACTGCTAGCAGTGCAGCAAGACTTAAAGCTAACAAAACTTGTTTCTGATGGCGATGTACTAAGATCTATGTTGTTAATTGAGATTCCATTATCAGGAATAGCTATGCCTTGCTCCCGTTGCTTGTAACAATAATTGCAAACACGAATCTTCTCCCAATCTTCCCGATCTGTCGTTGGGTCACCAGAAGGGGCAGGAATTGAGTTTCCTGTACACTTAGCACAGAAAACTCGTCCACAAAGTCGACAATGATGTTTACGGTTAAATACAGTGAACTGTGCATCACACTCATAGCATACCCTACAGCTACCATCAGGCATCCAAAAATCCCTCGAAACGTTAGCTGGCTCTGAACGCCAAGGGATCAACGATTTCAGCATGGAAATGAAATAAGAGAATACCTTGTTGGGCGCAGCCATCGACAAACGACTCTGCTGCCCTGCTCATTTGCCACTCTTAACAAGCCAAACTCTAGATGGTTGACCAATTTACCACAATGAAAGGTGGAGTGCCCAAACAATGCCAAAATTAAAACACTAAATATTCTTATCACCGCTCTTAACAATCATGTTCTTGATTGAAACTGGGCAAAATTCACCCCAAATGAAAGAAGCCTACCAAAATCAAAACACTAAAGTTTCTGATTAACACTTGGCGCATTTATTCTTTGCTCGTCAATCACCCATCGGCAGCAACTTCTGAAAGCACTAAGGCAGCTCCTGGCTCTCTATTTCAATTCAAGAGATGACTTCTCTAACAGAACCTGGCAAGAAAGAAAAAACAAGGCATACCTTGAGTTAATCTTAAATTCAAATTTGTACACCAAGATCCTACTTCCCGCACAATTCAACTTCTGATCCCAAAAAAAAAATATTCCCCAGACTACAGCTCAATTTGCCACACAAAACTAACCCGAGTCCCAAAGTTAAAATGAACACAAAGAGGAACACTGGATTGAGAAAACCAGAAGCTCAAAACCCCAAACACCTTCTTAACCACTACCATTGAGATTAAAGCACGCTTCTTTCTGTGACCCAACTCACACCCATCTGTCTCCAATCACTCCCACGCGTAACCCAATAAGTCCCCCTATGCAAAAACAAACCACACATTCAAAAACAATCCCCAAGTAACACCAACATAAAAAAGAAACGTTATTTGTCTATACACACACAAACTCTGCTACAAAAAAAAAATTCAAAAACCCCAAAAAAAAAAAAAAAAAAAAGTCCCTTCTTTTTGGTACAATTGGGTTAAAATTTTACCTTGTGATTCAAGTAAAACGAAGATGAAACCGCAATCAGATCTTCCTCCAGTGAAAACCGAAAGATTGCCGCCACGTGCCCCCGAGAAACCGAGACAAACCAAAAGCTCCAAGAGAATGACAGAGACGGGTTGGTCGGTAGAGGAAAGCTGCGAAAGCCCTCGTACCCAGAAATCGATTCGTCCCCAATTCAATGCCCAAACGCTTCAATTCTCGATCCAAGGCGCCAATTTTTGTTGTACCCAGAAAGTCTCAGAGCAATAATATAACAGCTACCATCTTCGTCGATTTTGCAATATCAATTCTCTGAATCCAGTCCCTCGTGTTTGTTTGTATGCATGCATACCACATTGAATAGCAGCAACAATCCGAAGACAAAAAATCTCGTTATATATGCGAAGAACTCGAACATCAGATTGAGTATTGTTTATTTTATTTTATTTTTTTTGAATTTCTGTTTCGTGCTTTTCCTCCCTTCTCAATATTTTTTTATTGTTTTAGTTTTTATTTATTTATTCCTGTGGCAGAGATACACACGCCCCTATTAACGTGCTTGCTAGCTTACCATTTTTCTCAAAATTAATTATTTTCTTCTTTTTTTCCACTATTTTTTTTTCGTTCTTTATCCAAAAACGACGTCGCTTTCTTACAAGTCAGAGCCAACTCTGAGCAGTAATTAGTTGGCGAAATATCGAAAGTATCCTCGGCGTGTGTTCCTGCCGGAACATAGATTTTGTGTACGTGTTACGTTTTCACTCCGACTGGCACCTGTGTGCACTTTAGTAATTTAAAGTCATTGTCCAAAAACACAAGCAAAATTTCACCCCAAAAAAAAGAAAAAAAAAGCAATTATTTGCTGTCTGTCCAAAACTCCAAATTTCCAAACGGATTTGTATAAATGAAAACGCGTCAGCGGCCCATTGACATTGATACTCAACATGCCAGCCCCCTACGCTGTTTTCACGGCCAAAGCGATGTTTTTATTAAATAATTTCTATAAATTTTATTTTTCAACAGAATTAATTTCATAATTGTTTTGTTAATGATGCTTATCTTTCTAATTTCTTGATTTGGGGAAAAAATATTATTTTTTTAAGCTGCAATAAATTTATATTAGTGTATTTAGTCAAGAATTAAGATTACGGCCATGTGATATAACTTGTTCACATATTATGGGGGAAATTTAAACCGTATCGTTCCCCCATATTATAACACGTGTATAAATTATATCATGTGCCCATATTACCGTATTATTCTATAATTCCTTCTTTTTTCTCCATGTAAGTTTTGTTCTTTAATTTTTTTTTTATTTTTTATGTTTGGTCCACACAGATTTGATTTGAGCAGCAGATTCACAGCTCACACACTGCACAAGCCATAAAAGGACAAATAATTAGAGATTCTTTATTGTGATTAGTTGTTCCTAAATACAATTAGATTCTCAGTCACTACCTTACCTGTTTTATATTTATATTGGATATGATTGTTGAGAAATATATTAGCCATCTGTATGAAACCGTGTCACCAGTTGATATAAGATGAATAAGGATCTGCATTCATCATCATATACCCTGAGTTATGCATAGGTACATAGAATACACTCATATGTTTATCTTCTTTCAATTTTCAACCAACTAGTTTGTAGCCTGGTATTATTTTCTTCTTAATGTTAGAAGAGATCGCAAGTTCGAATTCTCTCACAAAAAACAGAGTCTGAGTAGTTCTAATCCCCAAAAACAGAGTCTAAAAGTTTTTCGCTTGATGTATGTCTCTTCATTATTGATTATTTATGTTGAATTTAGTAGAAGTAATCTATTTATTTATAGCAACCTAATCCATATCTTTGTACTTGCTTATCTTGATCAACGAAGAAAGATTATATTAACATCATGTATTGCATTTACTATCTGTTTTAGAACCATTTACACTTTTTAGATTGATATATTCAAGTTCATCCGAGTCTCTTCTCTTGCGAGATTCATTAACAAAAGGACCATGACATAGTCATCTAGTCAAAAGCATCTCTATCAATTTCTGAATTCAAACCAGCCTTCATCTTCCAACCAATTCGTCCAAGGTTTTTGATTGATTGCTAGGCTTCTTTTGGTTTTGTTTTTGTTCTTTTGGGAGTAAAGGCAACGCCCAAAACCAACCAAACCTGACAAACACATGCTCATGGCCCTATTTATATATCAGCGCTAGCTACAATATTTCTTTCCATCTGCATATGCTGAATGAATCCTGCAACTCCAAGACTTTTTAAAGAGATTTACTGCTGGTAATGAGCCCATAGCACAACCTCAACACTTTGATCAAAATGTATCATTTTTAAGGTTATTGATGTTTTTGATTAACCTGGTTTTCTTGAGCTGGGTTAGGCCAACTCCTCAAGAACAAAAGGCTTGCATAAATAGATAAAAGAAAGTCGTTCTTAATATGATGTTCCCTTATATTATAACACATGTACAAGATGTACTACGTGGCTGTACTACCGTAGTATTCTATAATCATTCTCACCTATACTGCTGCCAAGGAATTGAACCCTTCAGTGAATATTCTATCTTTTGAATTATGTCTTTTGGTTCATAATTTCAAGATTTAGAGGTGATTGTTTTAGCTTGGAAGGAGATGATCATAAATTATAATCATTGATCACAAAAAAAAGGCAGGGAAGCCTGCCAATTGGTCACTTCCCCCCAAAAAAAAAAAATCTTTATTTTCTTTTAAATCAAGCAGACATGAAAGTCAATGGGAATTGGAAATCATGGATTTTTTTTTTTTGGTACAAGTGAAAGTCTAAATTACAGGAGATGAGCATTTCTCACACACACACAAAACTATGATGTAGTAGGAATTCAAACTTGAGACCTCTTGTCTGCAAATTAAGGCTCTTTTCCATTAGGCTAGACCCCGTTGGCCTGAAGTCATGGCTTTAGTTCCACAGAATGAAGGCAAAATTAGTGTCTAAGCCAGATCATGTCAGTCTTATGCTAGTCTTAATTAAGCAATCAACATCCCTTCATGCTGCTTAATTTATGCACTTATCTAGTCTTCTGTTGAAGGAACTGAAGTAGAATCAGTGGATGAGAATCGAATGGCGGCTTGGAATGTTTTGATATCAACCCAGTTACCAATTAGATAACGGTACCAGGTATTAAAGAAAGTATGCAGATAAACTCAATAAAATAAATCTATTGTATTAATATGTAATTTACAAGGTAAGTCACAGCCAATCAATTATAATTTCTTCCCTGAGTCTCTGACTGGCTGATACTTATCCGATCACAATAAAAGAAACAATTAGTTAAAATAATCAGAAAGAAACATTCAGGCCTGTCAAAAATACCGGCCAGGACTTCCCTATAGATTCTTGGACCTCATTTTACATCAACAAAGATGCAGATTTTACGTATCCTTTGAATTAAATATACATCAGATGTAGACCAATTCCAAATTTTAATTTAATGGGGGCTTTTCTTGGTACATTAACATATTTGAGGAGCATGCTATAAATGTCTCAGGAGGCTCCCAATAGCAGAATCATTTTGCAGACACATTTTTGTCGACTATCTGCAGGCAGCCAAGTGCATACAAAAATGTGGAAATCACTAGGAATGTGTGCAATTAGCCACTTAGCTATGAGATTCTAGTGATCATTTCCAACCTACTCCCCTCAGAAATCCGTCTATATGCTTGTGGTTTTATTTGGCAAAAGTAAAGGTCGTGATCAGACAAAGCAAAACTTTCAGAATTCTCTTGAAAATAAGATTGAAGTTGGATTTTCTTTTTCTTTTCCAGTTAGTTTGAAACCAAATCAAAATCATATCTTGGCTTATTTTAGGACATGGTGAGCCATAGAATGAGTCAGAGCATGAATTTATATTGTATTTTCTACTAGTACTCCGTACTTTTCTCTTTGTTTATTATGGCATTCGCACGATAATGACGTGTGGACATCCAGATGAGAGAATAACTATATATATATCTTGGTTTGAACCATGTCGTATGCATGTATGTAATGTGCATGAAATTCAGGGCAGTTGAGATTTGGGTTGGTGAGCTGATGTGCTGAACTCCATACAGCTACAGTGAAAGCCCAGAATGACATAGCAAAGCACTTGTGAACTTGTGATTAGTTAGTGATATGATTCAAATTAATTATGTAATTATATTAAGACAACTGGGTATTAATATTGGGTTTTAAACTACCCTTTTTGTGTGTGTTTGAGTAATTCCTAAGAAAAAGTTGAGAAATAAAACAGAATAGGAGAATACAATATTAGAACTTTTCAATTCATTCTGTCATGCACTGTGCACATCTTCAAACTCATGCGCAGCAATGTCATAATCCAAATTATAATCATAATCATACATTTATTAGTTTTTTTAATTATTGTTTAGTTTCCTTTCACTGTAGCTTCCTAAGTACATGCATGTGCTTTTCAGCATATAAAATCTCCTAGTTGGTGCGCTGAATGAAACATTCAACTTCCATACTTCCATTTCTTTAAAAAAAATTCCAACTTGTTTGATCATGGCTAAGGTTCACCCTCAGGCCCCATTTTCATCTTCCCCTACTGAATACTTCACTTCAAAACAAGAAACATTCACCATATGGATGAAATCTCTCATACTGAGCAGCAATGGTTGCACTGTCTTCGATTCGAACGGTCGAATTGTGTATCGTGTAGATAACTATGACTGCAAATGCAGAGGTAAAGTTTATCTTATGGATTTGAGAGGCAAAATCCTATTCACCATACTGAGAAAGGTAAATCCAATAGCAGCTACTTATAACAGCATAGTTTTGAGGAGATGGACTATATACTTATATTTTGCTGTATGTGGTCTAATTTCTTATGCAGAAATTCAGATTGCTTGGTCTTTGGGAGGGCTACAGATCCACAGGTAAAGAGGTCAACCCAGAAAGGCCTGGTTTTCAAGTTAGACAAAGATTTAGGTTGTGTAGAGGGGGATCACAGTGTAGGGTTATTGTAGGGCAAGACAAGAACCAACCACAGCAATACAGAATAGAAAGCTTGAGCAGCAAGTCATCCTACAAGATACTAGACAAGTCTGGAAGACTAGTTGCAGAGGTAAATTTAATTTTTAATTTTGAGTTTTTCATTTGTAAATAGAACACGGCTTGATCTATTATTTAGGTTAGTTTAAACACACATCACGGTTAGGCTAATTCACAGTGGTTAATTTTATAATGAACAGGTAAAGAGAAAGCAATCAGCATGTGGAGTGGTTCTTGGAGAAGATGTTTTGACAATGGTGGTAGAGCCCTTCATAGATCACAGTCTCATCGTGGGGCTTCTTGTTGTGTATGGTCTCATCAACCGTAAAATGTGAAAGTGTGGATGTAAATCGGCAACAAATATATATGGGATTGTAAGTTGTAAATTATTAGTGAAGAGCAAAGTTCGAACTACAATTACTTCAGTTGGGTTAAACCCTTTGTGTCAAATTTTGGGAAGCTAACTTGATCAAATGATTAATTGGTTCAAATTAAGGAGTTGATTTCTAATCTTGTAAGGAGAACGGATATAATAATACTACAAACACCAAATCAAATTTCTATGCAAGATTTGATATCGGATCTGTTACTTTTGTACATGTGTTTATCTTTAACATGCATAAGATATTATGTATGTCATCAACCACGTCACCTAGTAATAAAAATATAAAATAAAAGTACCTTTTGATCAATTAAATTTTGGTGCCTCAAGTTTAATTGTTTGAGGATCATTGCAAATCATAAGTTCCATGGATAGTTACACTTCAACCACAATATTCCCTCTATATTGCCATTATAATATTAGGAACGGAACCAAGATTTGAAAATAGGATGGGCTAAATTTACCTTACATAAAAATCTATAAAGATAGAAAATTCAACGGTATAAGTGAATTTCATTGATAACAAGAAGTTCCAAATTTCTATTTTTTAAATTAAACTTGTGTAAATCTAGCAACATAGAAAAATTGAAGTATGAATTTTAAGGTCAATTATAGCAATTACATGATAAACTTCTCTGTGAAATGAAAAAAATTGAAAGCATTTATCCATTACAAAAGATTTTTTTTTTTAAATTTAAAAAACTGAACCATTTTAGTTCATTTAGCCATTCAAACCAACTTGGAAAATAAAAATGAAAAGAAGGTACTCAAGCCAATGTACATGATTTTCTCTAAGGGAAATAAATCAGTGTTTTCTGAAAAGGGGTATGTGTCACGTGTCTCAGGTTAGTTTATATTTTTCTTTCTATTAGATTTGTGGGGTTAGTTAACTAAAGAAAAAAATATGAGATTTTCTATGGGTGGGGGTACTGGGGTATGTGTGTGTGTATCCGTGTGGGATGCAAAAAATCAAGTCACCTAGGGTGTCTATTAACTTTTGGCTATAAAAAATAAAGTCACCTAGGCTATAGTCCAAATTAGTCTAAACGTAGGACCGTCCCTATACAATACCTCTAACTCTCCACTATTTTTACATGCAAATATTAGAGAAATTTTTATATGCTCCGGATACTTGGATGATGCACCAATAAGCCTAAGCAGTGACAAAACATGCAAGCACAAAGAGAGAACTTCTCAAGAGGACTATCATGAGCCAACTTGTAAACAGACAGAAAAAATGTTTTTTTTTTTTTTTTTTTTTTTTTGTTGTTGCCAAATAAAAATTCTTTTAGTATGCCCTTTTTCTTCATACGACGTCATTTCATGTTAGCCGAATACAAAGCCGCCGTCGTTTACTTCGTACCTTTCTCTACACCCTAGCCGACACCGTATTGCATGACATTACAAGATAACAACACCCGATTATGATATTATCGTCTGCTTAAGTGCCTAATTGTACTCACCGGAGAATCTTTTAACACAACAGTTCCCGGCAAATTCGCCTATTGTTTTCTCACCATATTTGCCCGACAAAGTGACGACCCAGCGAACCCACCACGTAGGCATAAATGTGGTGGAGGAGATCAGCCTCGTTCATTCTCGACAAGCAGGACCAAGAACGAAACGACGCTGCATCGGCCTTGAAACCCGAGTCCCTCACTCTCTCCCCGCCACCACAGTCCTCATCCATGGCCGACCCCTCGCAAAACCCTAACCCTAAGATCTCGGCCTACTACCAGACCCGGGCGGCCCACCACGGCATCGTCACGAGCGACTGGCTGGCCCAGGCTCAAGCCGCCGTCGGCCAGAACCCCGACGAACAAGGTCCAATCGTCGGCGAGGTTGAAGCCAAGCCCGGTTCTGCTTCCGGCAAGCCCTTCAGCGTCATCGAGGAGTTCAATAACTGGAGAAAGCAGCCCGATTTGGCCGAGGCCGTGGCGGCCATTCGGGCCTTGGCGTCTGTGATTCGGTCCAGTGAGGCCACCACGATGATGGAGCTCGAAATTGAGCTCAAGAAGGCCTCTGACTCTCTTAAAGTGAGTAACTGTGCTCTGTTTGTTTCAGTGGAAAGTAGATTTCATAATTTTTTAAAAAAAATTTGTGAATTGTTTGTTGAAATTAGCTCATGTATGGTCATATTGATTTTGTAATTAATATTGAAAAGATTAGAATTACAGTTATTATAGTTTATCCTTCGGGAAAAGCCTCTGCTTTTCTGAAAAGATTTCAATCAAATTTTATGGATTCTTAATCAGAATGCAATCTTCTGAATAGAATTGTTTATCTTTTGGGCACTTGAAATTGGCGCAGGGAAACTGTATAAGATGGATACATTTTTATTTGGTTCTTTGAAATAAGCCATACAAGTATGTTAGATTTTATTAAAGAAGCTAACTGTGTAAATGCAAACTTCACTATTTATATTAATTTTGTTTTTCAATTCTTCATTGGTGATTTGTTAAACTTGCTTCTCTGTTGTCTTGATTGTGTTTCCATTATTTGATTGATATCGCCACTTATCACTGTTTATAGTTAATTTGGGGAATAAATCTAGCTGGCATGAAGTGTTCTTTTGTTGAATCAAGTTACAGAATGATAAAGAGGTCAAGTTATGATCTCCATTTGGTTTTATAGTAGTATTTTAGATTAATTAACGTGAACTACCCTTCATGTGCTTCAGTCATGGGACACGACCTCCATTTCTTTGACTGCTGGATGTGACCTGTTTATGCGATATGTTACTCGAACTTCGGCTTTAGAGTATGAAGATTTCAACTCAGCCAAGTCTCGTTTGATTGAACGTGCAGAGAAGTTTGGGGAGATATCTACTAAGGTACATGACCTAATAACAACTCTTTGAGCCTTTGAGGTAACTTTAACTACTGTGTCTTATTCAGCCACCCTTGTCTTATACTGCAGGCCCGCAGAATCATAGCTGTGCTTAGTCAAGACTTTATATTTGATGGTTGCACCATCTTGGTTCACGGTTTCTCCAGAGTTGTTCTAGAAGTACTGAAGAGCGCGGCCAAGAGCAATAAACTCTTTCGAGTTTTCTGCACAGGTTTTCTTCTTTATCATGCTGTCATTTATTTTGCTATATTAACTGGAGTAAGATGGATTTAACAACATAATTTAGAACCTCTATCTTCTTAGAATCTTGTATATGGGATATATTTTGGACGTTTCGTCTGTTTTTCTTTTACATCACCACAAATATCCTCCAAATTGAAAACTAGTAAGTTTGTTATATTGTAGTCTGTGAATTGTGTTCTTGTCATTCAGTTATTTGTAAGTAACAGGTGGGATTAGTATGAAATATTTTCCTTATGTATGATTCAAACTTGATGCTGTGAACTGCAGAGGGAAGACCAGACAGAACAGGATTACTTTTATCAAATGAGTTGGCCAAGCTTGATGTTCCTGTGAAGCTCCTAATAGACTCTGCAGTGGCATATACCATGGATGAGGTTGACATGGTATTTGTTGGGGCAGATGGAGTGGTTGAAAGTGGAGGTATTATCAATATGATGGGAACATTTCAAATTGCCTTGGTGGCACACAGCATGAACAAACCGGTTTATGTGGCTGCTGAAAGCTACAAGGTATGCCAAAATAAGTTCTGTATCTAATAAGGAAATCATATTGTATCATTGTGTGTACACTACATATAGCCTGGGTCATTATTTTCTTGTATTTAATACTATTTATTGGTAAACATATATTCTTTTAGTGAATAATGCTACACCTACAAAAAGTTTCGCTTTACTCTTTTGTTGCATGACCTGGCACATCATGTGGCTTGTTATTGGCAGTGTGGTTTATACATGTCATATAAGTAGTCCACAGCAGAGTAAAAATTTCTATAAGATTTAAGAATCAGAATTGCAAAATTTCTCTTTTAACAGAGGCAAAAGATCAATATTTGTTCATTATTTCCACAAAACTTTACATACTCGATTTGTTGTTTTCCAGTTTGCTCGCCTCTATCCATTGGACCAGAAAGACATGGCCCCTGCATTACGCCCCATAGATTTTGGGGTACCCATTCCATCCAAGGTTGAGGTTGAAAGGTCTGCTCGTGATTATACGCCTCCACAATATCTTACTCTGCTCTTCACAGATCTGGGCGTACTAACTCCGTCAGTGGTCAGCGATGAGCTTATTCAGCTATACTTGTAACCATTTCATGAATGTGGATATTTTCCCAGATAATGCCTCTTCTTAACTCGTTCCCCCCAACCTAAAATTATGATAGTCTTCATGTGAAGGGGAAGAATTTTGTTTTTAAGGCATGAATGGTGAAGGGTCAATTTTGTTACATTTGTACCATTAAATGCGAATATACCTTGACATGCATGCATGCAATTCTGGTTTTGTTGTTGGCCTTTGTCCTTGGTGTTGTTTATTTCATGGGGTTGGTTTTGTTGGGTTTGAATATAGTGGAACATATCGTATGCCATTTACTTTTGCTCAACATATACTCTGATTTGGATTTGGCCTCTTCTTCAGCATTAGTAAAATGAAAAACGAAGAAGAATTATTGCCCTTTTATTTATTTTTTTTTATTTTTTTGCCGAAGTCCTTTTAATTGTAGAGATAGAGGAAGGATTAGAGGTGACAGATGCAAAGAATAATGGGTCTAAACAAAAGGCAATCTTAAATGGTTTTTTAGATTTCATTTTTATCTGTCGAATTGGGAGAAAACAGGAAAAAAGACTAACTCAATCAAAGAGAGACCAAACATGATACGTACATTATCTATGTCGTTGGATTGTTGTATTGCTTGCTGCTCTTGAAAAGCAAAAAAAAAAAAAAAAAAAAAAAAGAGAGGAAATCAGCTCAATCAAAGATCATTAGTCATTTGATTATCCATAATTTCGTTTCATAAACAACATGGGGGACAGCCCTTGAAGGATGACCTAAATTTACTAATTATATAAAAGGTGCCGATAGTTGAAATACCATTGTTTGGTAACCCTAAAAATAAGTGTCCATTTTTTTTAATTTTTTTTTCAACAAGGACATTCTTAATACAGAAAAACCCTACAACATATGGTTAATTTAAAGTTTGTACTTGTTGTTAGGGTTGGGGAGGAGCTTCTCCCTCAGCTCTGCAACATCAATCTCCTCAAAGTGGCTCTCTGGAATCCAGTTCCCTGTCTTCGGGTCTCTCATCCAAAACACTTGATTCATTTGTTCACCATCATGATTATTTGCTACATTATCATTAACACCACTGCCCGATTCGGTTGTCGCAGTCCTCGGCATTGTCGTCGCTGCCTTTTGCACTGATCTTGCAACCTTATATGATCGCCTACTTCAACCAAGAGCAATAACATCAGATATTATAACCTAATTGTATTTTCATCATCATTAATTTCTTACTATCAAGGCTCAAGAATGTTTAAGCAGAAACAGTCCAACAGATGGGAAATTAATTAGTGCGCTTGAGATAATTATATGGTGATTCAATTAAAACTCATACAGAGACACACTTGTGTGAAAGAAACAAAAATAATATATATATATATATATATAGCTGTACCAACCTTAGCAGGAGAAAGGGGTTCACAGGAAACTTGGCCATGATTGTATGAATAAGTAACGCTCAAAAAGATAGAGGATGTAAGTGAAGGGCTTATAGCATAGGATGGGATGGGAGGATTAGTGTGGTGTGTGTATATATAGGAGTAGGCTAGGCCTTACGAGAGGGAGCCAAAAAGGAAAGGTTGATCAGAAGTTGGAGAATTATCCTAATTATATATCACTTCTTAGAGATTTTAGAAACAAATTTCAACTCGAGAATTTTATCGGAACCTATGTGTTGGGCCCATATGGGATTGTTGGCAAGCATTTTTGCTCATAAACTCTTTTTCTACAAGCAATTTTATTCGATTCAAATGATTTTTGAAAAAAAAACTTATTTATATATATATAACCTACAAACACTTTTAAGTTTTTCCCTCAAATGCTTCCAAAAGCTCTCTTAGATGTGACAAAGCATTATTCTGGACAGGCCTATATGGAGAGTCACTTCTCCATTTAATCACTTTATGTGGTTTCAAGTGATTTTATAGAGAGTAAATGAGATGTTCTTCTTTCTGGAATTGTTTTTAAAAGTAGAATCGTTTAAAATAATTATATATGGAGAATCACGTGAGAGGTGCTTCTCTCGATAAGTGGCTTTGACCCTTCCAGCTCTAAAAAGGAGCCCTAAGCAGTCCCAAATGAGTATATCAATCACTTGTGATATTTTCATGGAATAAATATTTATAATTTTATCATATTCCTACATGTGTAATGCTACTTTTAATTAGCACAATATTACACCATGAGAAGTTGAGTTGGACCCGAAAGTACTGGAATCACTCCCACTCCTTTAATTGAGGGGCAAGGACTTGTGTCGAATATTGCATCTTAATTATTCCCTTAATTGGGTGGCATTGGGCATATTATACAGCTAATGCTGTCTTTCTTGCACGACAAGTATTAGTCTTAGGATGACATTACACACATTCATCAGCAAGCTTGCGTATACAAGAATGACGATGAAATTCAAGGGGTATGATTTTCACTTTGGTTATGTCAAACATTATGATTTTTTTTTAAAGGGTTATAAATATGATTTATTTTCATAGCACTGGTGTGTATCATTCACATTGAGGTAAATGGTGTTGTGCCGGCATGTAGTTTAGTTAAGTTTGCTTTAAATTCCGCAGATTCTTTTGAATGGTTTGAGATGCCCCCTAACATTATTTGAGACTCTTTCTTAGTTGATCATCATAGTCTGAGTCAGGTTTTATGTACATTTATCTATTTTTCGAGTTTTAATTATGAATAAAATCTCCTCGTACAGTTGATGGGACTCATTAAAAAAAAATCAATTTAACAATCCATTAACAAGAGAACATTTCGGAATATATAATATTATCTCGAGTTTTTTCATAACTGTATTGTGATTATCTTCTTTGATGGTAGAGATAATGATCTACAAACTCGTTAATCACGTGGCCGAAAGTTTTTTATTATTCATTAGTAGTACACTAGAATATTGATCCCCATATATGGCTTTGGAATTTGCTATAGAGTACCAATGATCTTCAAGCTCGTTAATCACACCCTCATAGTTGTGATTATTCAATATGGGATTACTATTTTCACACTAGAATATTGGTCCATATATATATATATATATATATATATATATATATGTCACATGAATTTGCTATAAAATTTACCCTTTTCAGGCCAATCCCAGAAATTATTCTTAAATCAAATTTGCATTGAAAGATTTGATTCTAACGCTATGCCCCCGCTAACCCCCCCCCCCCCCCCCCCCCCCCCCCCAAAAAAAAAAGGAAATGGAAGATGCGTGGGCAATGGGCATCCTCATTTTCTTTTAAAATCTTTGAACTCCTAACGAAATGGAAATAGTATAGCCGTGCGGGTATACTCGGGGTTTTAATGTTTTTAAGAAATCGTATAGCGGTCGGCTATACTCGGTTTTTTATTTTTAAAGAAATAGTATAGCCGCCCGGCTATACTTGGTTTTTTATTTTTGTAAAAAGAAATAGTATCGCCAACCGGCTGTACTGGGTTTTGCTAATATTTTTTGAAAAGAAATAGTATAGCCGCACGGCGATACTCTATTTTAAAATTTTTTAAGGTAATAGTTAGCCGCGCGGCCCCACTATGTTTTTTATATACTGTGGTTTTTCCTTAATTTTTTTAACATTATAAATCGTATCGAATCCTAATTATATATGTACATATGTGATGAAAATATAATTCAAAGAAATGACGATGGTAATACGTGGTTATGGTTGTGGTTGAAGTATGTGGGAGATGGAAGGGTGTGGTTTTGTCTGAGATTTTGGATGTCTCTTCTTTTTCTTAATGCTGTAAATAAAATTACAAATTCGAACTTGTAGAGGCCACTACTAGTTGAAAACATTGAACAACAACAACTTCAGCACAAACACAAGAAGAGGATAATTATCTTGCAAAAATATCAATGAGGACTATCGACTTTTAAGATGTGATGATGCTGGGGCCTTCCTCAACTTGTTTGGGCTTGGAATTTGCACAAGTTAATCGGGCCAGTTGGTTGGTCTGGATTTTTTAATGAATAGTGATTTCAAAGTTTTAATGAACATATCAATGCGGTTTAATCCAGTAAAAAAGGATATTCACTTGCATATTAGTGATCTCAGCTTCGAAAAGAGTGAATTCTTTCTTCCGTGAAATTGGTTAACAAGGTCTTGTATCTTTCTATATCTCCCAAAAATCACCCCCCACTAAAAATCATTTTTGTATTTTATAATGAATTCTTTGAGAATTTGTAATAAATCCTTTCTTTATTAAATTTTATAAAATTATTAAATTTATGACACTATGACAGTGTCTGTGAAAAACCCCTCTCCCCTTTCACGAAAAAAAAAACTTTCAATTAACATAAAAAGTCCCATTTGATTGAGAAATTGGTGACCGATGACTTTGGCCTAGTATGTTGATAAAATTGTTTTTTGGGTCGACAATCTTCTTTAAAGATTAGGAGATAGAATTAGGAAAAGAGGCAGATTTGGTTGGGATTATTTAGATTTCAAGATAAGTAATATGCAATTGTAAATTGAGATATGGTCTATGTGTTTGGACCCAATTGTAAATTGAGATGTGAAGAATGTACAGTGAAATGTATTGGTGTTCTATAAGGAACATCACTTAAATTCATGTGCCAAAGGATCATAATAGAATTCTAAGAAGATTTCATATAGAAAGTTCCCTTTTACATCCGAGTTCAAATTTCTCTTCTCATACATTACATTAATTTAGACTATCATTTCTATCGAAGAAAAAAAAATCTTAAAATATTGATAAAGCAGGAAATGTACCTTTGTAAATATATTACACTATATATGCCTTGGTGCATGATATTTAGAATCTATACACACATGGGCTTCTTTCCCCTTCTGATTAACTTCTTTATTTTATGGGAGATGCAAAGCAATGTGAAGTGGAGGAACTTACAAATTATTGGATAATGACAGCCTGACAGGCACTAAATATGTGTAGGATTTATGCATATAAGTTTTCTGGTGTTTGGGACAACATTAGTACTTTCAATTTTATTTTCCATATGCTCTTCCAAACAAACAATTGATGTACTATAAGCCTACAACGATCGATGTGAAACATGTGACTTTCGAGCTGATTATATTTGTATACTAGAATTAGTAAATATATATATATATACATATGGAGCGACAATGCACGTGAGAGGCCTTTTTATAGAAATTTAAAATATGATATATATTGCTACTTTTGTCTGAATATTTCACTTTGAACACCATTTTCTCTATAATCTAAAAAAGAAAACAAACATTCAACGGGATCTAACTCAGTGAAAAAATGATCTTGATTTACAGACTAGTGGTCTCAAGTTTGAATTTCATGACACCTTAGTAGTGTGTGTGAGAAATTCACTCTCCTTATATTTTATACTATCACTTGTATTTAAAAACAAAAATAATAAATAAACAAACAAACAAAAATAAAAAGTAAGGTTGGAAAGTATCTTAGAAGATTTTCCTTTCGCACATGAGTTTTGTCCTGAAATTGTCATTATTGAATTTGAATGCACATATATGTATGATGATTAAACGTTATTCATTTTCAATCTCCAAATGATGTATTTGAATCCCAAAAGGTGCCTGTATGTACCCCAATATATTGTTGTCAAATTTTAAACCTATTATGTAAAATACATGTAAAAGTGATTGATCAATAAATAAATAAAAGGCAGTAGTTGATTGATTTTGTCAGGGTTGGTATATAAGCAATAATTTTTTTTTAGTACAAGTGATAATTTTAATTAAAGGAGAATGAGATTTTTCACACACACAGATGATGTCATGGGGGTTCGTGTTAAGATTTAAGAGGGACGGACCCTTGACATACTACTAACAACATCAATATTGTCCATAACTTAACTACATGTTTAGCAGGTGTGGAGTTTTATGCAAAATGCCTCGATTTTGTTAGGAGTGGAGTTATTTATTATATGAGACTTTATATTTTGTTAAGTATATCCGATGTGGAACTGTGTTGTATTCTTTAACAATTCAAACTTGAGACTTCTTGTCTGTAAGTCAATGTCCTTTTCCACTAGGCTATACCCCATTGACTATAAGTAATAGCTTTAAATTCAATATTCCAGACTAATAGTGGTTGTTTTCGAATTTTTAGATGATTCTATATTGTATCATATCATGTATACAATAGGGATGCAAGTATTATATTATATGGTCACAATCCCTTTCATTTAAAGTCACTCTGCATAATGCAACTATGTGGGGTAAAAAGTGTCTAATATGGGCGCCACATATTGGAGCTTGTATACATACGGTATGGTGCTCACTAGTCATTTGAGCTTTATTACACAACCTCACAATCCAAACAACTCATTTTCTAGCTAAGTATTAAAAATCATTTCCTTATTAATTGTTGTCAAATAAATAGACGAGCTCAATATTAATTTTTTATAAACTACTAAAATAATCAAAGATGACAATCAATGATTAGACGATTTCCGATTTTAAGGAAATTTTATTAAAAGGATCTTTGATTGAGGATCGAAAAATGAACGTTCAAATCTTGGCATCATATTAGGAGTGAGTAAAATATTTAGTAGGGAAAATTATGGGTATAAATAAAGAATAAAGGGATCTCATGAACCATTAGTTTTAAAATGTTTAATCTTTAAGTATCCAATGTCATTGTTTCAACCCTAATTATATATTCCTAGGGAGTGAAAAGAAATAGGCTTTCCTTTCCTCCTTGGTGATTCTTTTTTTATTTTTCTAACACTTTGATGAGTCCTTCTTATACGCCAATACTAATGTTTGTTATAATTTTTGACAATTTTGATTGTTTATTTTTGGAATTTCCAAAAGAAAAATCAATATATATATACTTTTAAATAAATGATATTGGGAGATTTTGAAAGATGAATTGAGCTTAGGAACTCGGATGTAAGAGTATCTACATAAGAGTGATATTAAGATATTAAAAAAGAAGAATCGAACCTAAGACATTATTCAATGCCAACTCCTTAGTGGAATCGACTTCTCTATAGTGGGGGGGACAAGAAAGGTGAAAAGAATTAATAATTAACAAAGAGGATCCACACAATTTATTTCACAATTATCACGTTTCACATGCTGGACAAAAAACAAAAGGTTCGCTCATTTTCTGGTAGGGCCAAACAAAACCAAAGGCCTAGGGTAGGAAAATGGCTTCAACTTCAAAACCCTTTTCCTGTTTTTAACTCGTTTTAAGTTTAACCCTGCAGGAGAATGCAGACATGGTAAAGACATGGAACAAGCAAATTGCAGCACGTGGCTCATGATGTAGCAATAACAAAATAAAAATAACAGAAGCAAAGTCTTCCGTCTATCTTTGTTTAAATATTATTGATCTATTTCTGTGTGTGTGTATGTGGACGGAGAAGCAAAGTTGCCTTTAAATATCTAATGCTCAACCCTTACTTCACAAACCCTCTTAAGTTTTCTGTTTCTTCTTCTTTCTTCTTCTCTTATCTCTTCTCTCCTCTTCTCTCTGGTTCAGCAAAAATGAACTCCAAGTTCAGAAAGGGCTCCAATTTGGTTGACCATAAGCAGAGCTCAGTGGCTGTTGGATTGAAAATCCTTATACAGGTCTCACAAGGGAACAAGTCAAATATCATTGTGAAATCTTCATTAAGATTGAGCCAGCCCAACCCTGAGTTCTCTTGCTTTCTCAAAACATGTCACTTATGCAACAAGGGGTTAAGCCTTGAGAAAGAGGTCTACATGTACAGGTAAAACTTGTAAAAATAATTAGACTCTCCACACATATGCATGAATTTCCAAAACTTAATTCTTCATCTTTGTTGGTTTTTTCATAATTTTGTTCTGAGAAAATATATATTTTATTTTATTTTGCCAAAATAAGACTTTTTATTTTGTTTATATAAGTGATAATCTACTTTAAACTAATCTAAACTGCGGGATGGGACTTGGCATAGATTCTGATATAGTTTGCGAATCGAATATGTGAATGCAGAGGTGATCTAGGATTTTGCAGCATACAGTGCAGGAACAGACAGATTGTGATTGATGAAATGAGAGACTTAGAGGCTTCTACCAAGCAAATGCTAGCATCTTACAGGCGTGGCCAAAATCGTTGCAGCAGCAATACTAGAGTCGGCTTAGTGTCTTGGAAGATGTACATCTACAACAAGACCGAATTCCACAGCACAGAAACATATTTGCACTTTAAATTAAAATAAATATATACTCTTTAATTTTTCTAGCTTCCATGAGTTAAAAATTGCTAAGCGGGAAGAAAATTTTAATGAAATGAGCTGTTGGATTGTTTAATTATTGTTATATAACAAGATTAAAAAAAAATCAGTATATATTTTTTTTGAGGCAGTTTCTTGATTTGTATCCCTTTCTATTTTGAGATAAGCATCAATTCACCTTCTTGCTCTATCGCTTTCTTTTATTGTTTGTTTATGATAACTGGAAAACTCTTATTGGAGGCAGCAACCTTTGGCCTTAGATATTTTCATAGATATCAACGTTTTGGTATATGTGCAGCTTTGTCCAGTACCAGACTAAATCTGCGACACACTGTTGTACTAGTCTCTCATGGTTAGATTTGGAAAGATAAACCATCCTATATGTGCGCATATTGTTTGAAGAAGATAATGTTGTTTGTGGTCTCACTTCACCGTTTGTTGTCAATTCTTTCATGGTCGATCTGTGCCCCACGACACCATATAAATTGTGATAGATTCAATATCTAGTCGTGAGACGTGACTTTGTAAAAATATTTTTCAAAATATCCTATCATTGGTGAAAGACTTTCAAATCATGAAAATGAAAGAAGCTCTACGATCCAAAAGAACAGATTTTTTGGACAGATTGAAGAAGAACAAAAGTTGGAAGATCTTATGCATAGACATGAATATTCAACAACAGCAACCTGCAAGGCTGCAATCATAGAGAGGACGTGTCATTACCTAAACCACGAGGGTTTTAAATCTCGATTATGAGCTTCAAATTAAGTGCTGAATGAAAGCAAATTAATGATACATAAGCTCATATGATAATATAATTGAGATCTATAAGAAGGCTGCTAAAAAAATGCAGGTCTGCCATAAAATGCTTCCCAGTTTGATGAAGGGGGGTGATCAAATCTATCTGCACGCAGAATCCGGGCGTACCTTCGAGCTTAATTCATTGTTTTTCAAATCAAGCTTGAATTTCTGCGTTAGATTAATCAAATATATGTGTTAGGTAAAGTAGCCAATCAGTGTATACTGTGTTTCAGGGTTCATGACATGTTCAAGTAAAAGATTTTCAATGAAGAACGTCACAACTTCTAGAATTAAGTGAACATGGTGATCCTATAAGAATACCACACATAAATAATCATTGATGTTTCAGCTGCAAATGAAAAACTACAGGAAAATGCATTAATCCGGTAATTAATAATTAGGGAAAGACTCAAGACGGCTCTTCAAGGAGGTAAATGCCACCATCCTTTACTTTAACTGGTTGCTCTAATGCGACCCTTAAAAGTTTGGGACATTTTGGAAAAAGCAAAAGGATAGAGAAAAATTTTAAAAGAAGCAAAAATGGACAAAAATGCCCTTATTTATTTTTAGATTTCCTAAGGAATCTAATACATTTGCATGTCTTTGATTTAAAAGTTGAGCGGTTTTTTTGTCTTTTTTGAAAAAGCTTTGGCTTTTTCCAAAAGTGAAATTTTTTTTATGTCTAAAACCTAAAAAACCTTAAAAGTTTTCTGCTTTATTTCAGTTTAGCTAATTGTATTGGTGGATTTCATCTTTATTAAACACGCATGTGGTTACAAACTTAGAATGCTATCTATTTGAACTTAAAGTCACATTCTTGGCCTATTTCTGGCCAAGATGGTGACATTATGCCATGGGATAGAATATTTAGACGATCACTAGTGGAAAACGTCATGATAATGTATAAGTCACGGATACACATGTGGCATGTATTCATGTTAGGCATAGACTATCGGTGGTTAAAGGGTGTTGGTCATAAATTGGACACATATCACGTGACTATAGTCGAAGCATGTGTTGTCATTCATTGTCTGCCACGACAAAGAGTGTCTATGGACATTAATAGAAACGTATTGCAAATGTTAACTTAGAAGCCAAGCTAACATGGGCAGTCAAGATCGTATAAATATGAAACTGAGACACAAAACTCCTTTCAAAATTACGAACAGATTTCAATATATATATTTCAACCTAGATTTCTTGACAGTTATAACTGATTTCAAAGAGATTCATGAGAGATTTCAAGTCTTGCTGAGGCTATTCAAATCATAGATCATACCATTGTTTTACCAAACCAAACTTTGGTAAACCCACATCAGTTTTGGAAATCCTTGAAGAGCTGGATTAATTAGTTTCACCAAATTAGTGAAAAGGTGTGATTGAAATGTTGGAGAGCTTGATTACAAAGAGCGGTCTCATGGTTTGCTTCGGCGTGCTTCCCTTCATTTAGCATATATTAAAGATGCTTGTAGAAGTAGTTGTGAGTGGTGTGGCCTGTAGCATAACTTTTTAACTTATTTGTGGTCCGAAAGATTTATTTTTTAGGCAATTAAAGGGTTGCCAGCAGTCGGTGACTCCCAATGCTTCATTTTGTATATAGACTCGTTTCTTTTTCCGATTTGCAAACAAAATGATTCTGGCCTTTTACTAGATATCATGCTATATATTAATATTCATACATATTAAAGACAGGACAACTAACCTTCAGATCATGTGTAAGCAGAACATATCATATACCATCCCATCATGTTCAAATAGTACTGGTTGTGGTACTCCGAGTATCTCCAATTATGTCACATGATATTGTGTTATTGATAAGAATTCGTTGGAGATGCTCTTAAACTCGTATTTACGGTTATAAAATTTGACTATCTTGCTTTTTCTGTACCTTAAAAGAAAATATCCTTACTTTGTTGGTGTTAGCCTTTTAATTTCTGACAATTGGAATTGAGATCTATTGTTAACAACTGGATGTGACATTAGGCAGATAAGAAACTTGTTCATTTTCCTGAATTAAAAGAAAACTGAAAAAACCACCACTCTCCTTCAATATCAAAAGAGGGAGAAGACAAATTTACATGGGCACGTGCATAAACATTAATTGTTGTCACAAGATTAGCATAAAATTTAAATTCGTTAGTCGAAGCGAAATAGAAGAGAGAAAATCTGTCAATTCAACCATGTGTGTGGAGAGTAAGACCTAATAACTTCAAGAAATTAGTAGGCTGGATGGCCAATTTGAGACTCTAATTTAGATTCCAAATATGATCGAGTTATATAATAGGTTCAACCCGTGAACATTTTTTTTAATCAAATATAAATTTCAACAGTACAATCAAAGACATCAAAAGTACCAACTCAACTCATGAGTTCTACAAATATAAATAAGTCAACTTTTTTTTCTTTTCTTTTTTGGTTTTGTTGTTGAGGTTATCTTGTAACATGCTACTTTCAAAACTATCAGTCTAGAATTGTGTTTAGCTATTTGATTATCATCACAATAGTTTAGTGTTCATAAAAAAAGAAATATCATGTTCGATTATTGATCTAATCACAATCATAACATACAAAATGGATGGTTTAGATTATGAAATTGCATTTGTGATTGGGTTCGTAATTTTTTTTTTCTTTTCATCAAAGTGGAGTTGGTAATTAAAAGACTCAAACTTTAACTCCAAAAACCTTTCTAATTTGTCATTAGGAGCTCAAATTTCAAGTTTCAAGTTGAGTTGGGAGTTACTTTTGATATGATCACTTGCATTGCATGCTTCATTTGGCGCTTAGGCACCATAGCGTGTACATTTACGCGCGCGCACGTGGGAGCGAGATGTTGATGGAGACTGGGAATTGGATGAGCTTTGATCATTGATCAAGCTCCGAGCAAATAATATCAGGGCCTCCTCGTGCATCCAATCAACTTGAAGCAATCAAAAGAAAAACGAAAAGAATTATGAATGCCAACCTTAACCCAAAACCCAACAGGAAAATTAAATTAAATGAAATGCATAAGAAAACAAATATAGTAAAGAAATCCTGGGCTTTCTTTGATTATCTTTTGGAGCATATGACCACATCAAAAACATTGTTGTTGTTACTTTACCTCCCACAAGTTCCGAATCTTGAGGGTAATAATAATACAAGAAAAAGATTAACAAATCGAAATGGGACTTGAAAAACTTACTGCTCCTCTGTTTTGGTTTTGGTTCAATTTCTAAGAAAGTTACGAACTTTTGGCTTTGAGGCTTTGGCTTTGGCTTCGGCTTTGGGTTGAATGTTTGTTACACGCTAAACTCAATTGGGTTCCAATCAAAGTTTGGTACTTTATCAAGTTCGTCAAAAGTCCTTTTAATTAGTCTCTTTTTGTTTCATCAATGTTTTTTTGGTTATGTTTGACCTTTTTGAGGTTGAATGCATTTTCTGACACACCCACCTATTTAACAAATGCGAATATTAATTACTTTAAATTTATTAAATTTTGGTGACTGTGAGCATTTTGATTTATTTTGGTGCTGAATTAGATACAATAGACAGAAACAGATAAATAAATTAATTCCTATTAGAAGTTGGTTTTTTTTTATGCGAATTTCTTTTTGGGGATTTGGATTTTACGGGCCTAGGGTTCTCTTTTCATACTTTACTCGTCTATTTTGTGCTTTTTTGTGATTGTAGAAGCTAAGGACTCGCTTGGGTCGTCGGTATTTCCTGATTTTCTCTTCTGGGTTGTTCAAGTTCTTCAAATTCCTCATCTGGGTCGGTGAGTTTTTCTGTTTCTGTCGTCTGAGGTGGTGAATTTTCCCTTGTTCCTTGCCAGGTTCGTTGATTTCTCCAGGTTTTCTCATTTGGGTCTCGGTTATTTTTCAATTTCAACAGTTTTTGGGTTGAAATTTGAGGGCTTTTTTCCAATTTGCTTCCATCAGTAAGCAAAACTTGGTCGAGTTTGCTCATAGTTTCCATTATAGGTTCTTCCTGTGAGATAGGGTTTGGCTTGTTTTGGGTCCTGGATCTTGTTGCTAGGACCTTCTGTTCTTTGAGTCCATGCTGGCTTTCTGGCGAAATTTTGGTTCTGAGAGTGCTTTGTGAGGAGGGATTTGACCCCTCTTAGTAGATTTGGTTGTCCCTCCTTGAATGCTAGCTACAAGGTGAATCAAGTTGGAAATTTGATCAGGTTGGTGTGGTTGGTATCCAAGTCAGGGTCGAAGTTGATGCATGCCCTCAGTGTTATAATCTTGGAGATGTGATGGGTTTTCGGGTTTTAATTCTTGGGTGAGCAGCTTGGGCTTCTTTGCTTTGCCAACTCTCTGGGCGCCTGCAGGGAAATAATGAATCATTCTCAGGGAGCTTCAAAGCACACTTGTAGTCTGCTTGTGGTCACTTGTGGGAAAATTTCTGAAGATAAACCTAACAAGGACACCCTAGATGAGAAGCTCAAATACCCGTTTCCAGAGTTAGTCTCTTCAGGTCGTTTGGAGGTTAGAATTTGCTATTACCATTCTCTTCTGAATTTTAAATATGGAATGTGTTGCGTATACTTTAATTACCAGTATCATCTTGTTTTTAGCTCATTAAGTGAATTCCTTGTTTCAGTTTAGTTTTTAAATTTACCATATTTGTCACTCTTCTAATGCAGGTTCAAACTCTGGCCAAGCCAAGCAAAGAGGAGTTCTGTAAAATGCTTGAATCATATAAGCCAAATCTTGTATACTTGCAAGGAGAACAGCTTGAGAATAATGAAATTGGGTCTCCTGTCTGGGAAGATGTTGATTTGTCGACTGCCGAAGCTATATCTGAGATCTTTGGTGCCACGTTGCCTACAACTGTATGTATTTGATTTCCTGAACTTGCAAAGTCCTTTTTGGTGTATGTATGATTTATGCCCTTGTTCCTTCTTTCATTGGAATGAAAAATTTATTATGTAGTTAGTGAATTGCTTCCTTTATTTTTTATTTATCTAATTATGGCGGCATGCAATTCTTTAACTCTGAGTTACTCATTTGACAAGATATTGAAAAATCAAGAAGTAGGTAATTGGGAAATGTCTTGTGAGGTGTGAGGAGAGTCTGCATTGCATGATTTCTTGTGGTCTGGAAATCTGTATGCAGTTCATTCCCCGATTTTGGTTTATGTGATTTTTTTTTCTTATGTTCTTTTCAATTGTTCTTTGTAATATCTCGAAAGGTTTGTTTTTCATGTGACCCAACTTCATTTAATATATGTATATATGCAGGTTTATTTGGAGGTTCCAAATGGTGAAAATTTGGCAGCGGCACTTCACTCTAAGGTAATTACAGTAAGGCTTATTAAGTATGCTTTCAGGAGTTCACTACCAGGGCTCAGTGAGAAATGGCTAGTTACGGTGTTGAACTTTTGTTTCAGAACTGCAAGCCTGTTTTGTTTTTTTAGTTATTTATTTTTTGGTCTGAGCAAGCCTGTTATTTATTTTTTGTTGAAAATTGTGGTTGACTATGTATGTTTCATGTGCAGGGAATTCCTTATGTGATATATTGGAAACATGAATTTTCTTCTTATGCTGCTTGCCACTTTCGACATGCATTGCTTTCAGTGGTACAGAGGTACTTATCTTTTATTAATTTTTCTGAGCATGTGGGTAAAGGATCTCTAGATAGCTTGTTGGATTGGTTATAGAGAAAGAAATGCCATTTTGAAAAGGTTGTGGTTAGCACATGTATATATGTGCACTACTGTTGTTTAATGTCTAGTTAGCGTCACTGGAGATAATTCCATTGATTGGATTATAGGAATTGTCTGTGCATCATGCATGGCCGACGTTAATTGACACATCTTTACGCTACTATATTCTGTACAAACACTAAACAGGCTTGACAACTGCAGTTTTTTGGATTGCAGTTCATCAACTCATACATGGGATGCTTTCCAACTTGCATATGCTTCCTTTAGGCTTTACTGTGTAGAAAACAGCCATGCCAGTCCTGCTAACAGACACAAATCTAGTAGTGCTGAGCTGGGGCCATGCCTTCTTGGTGATCGTTTGAAGATCAACGTTGATCCCCCTGAGGCAGATGTGGAGGAAGATGAAGAAGGTTCCTTGGGTACTCTCCCTGCTATAAAGATACATGATGATGATGTGATCTTGAGGTTTCTTGTTTGTGGGGAGCCTTCCACATTGGTAAGCCCGAATATACCTCTTTTTACCAGTGTTTAAATACTATTCTTCATGTAGGAACACATGCACACGAATGCCAGCAAAAACATACCCATCTCCTCATTCATAGACTTATGATGGGCTGACGTATTTTCAGGATGCAAGTTTATTGGAACCTTTGGAGGATGGTCTCAATGCCCTCTTAAACATCGAAGTAAGTGTGATTTCTCCTTAGCCTATTTGCCTTTCATTTTCCTATAGCTTTATTTGGGGGAAGCATTTCTTCATGCCCTGCTGGAGAATGCTTGGTTTGACATATTAAAGCATTTCTTCATGTACTGCCTTACTTAACTTGGTTACATTTGTATCTATCCAAAAAATAACTATCTTATTTTTATCTACTACCCTTAATATCATCATGATGTTGAAAGGAGTTATAATTTTTCCTCATTTTGTAATTATGTTGCTCCAGATGCGTGGGAGCAAGCTTCATGGCAAGTTTAGGTATGTTGGGTCCTGTAAATAATGGATGCTCTTTTATTGTTGCTTGATTGGATATTTGTAATTTTTTAATTGCATAGTAGTTTACATCATCTTATTGGTTTAAATAACTGTTCATGTGGAGGCGTCACCATTTTCTTATGTTTTTCTAAAGTAGGTGTTGAATATTAATGCATTTTGGCATTTGAAACATCTTCAATACTACATTGAACTTTCAAACTCCCTGTTACTTTTTTATTATTTTCCCCCAAAGATGAATTGTTGTGCAGTTATGCGTTGTTGTGAATACAATTATTTAATTAATGTTTTTCAATGTGATCAGTGCTCCTCCACCGCCTCTTCAGGCCGGGACATTTTCTCGTGGTGTTGTGACTATGCGATGTGATGTATCAACGTGTAGTTCTGCGCACATCTCACTTCTTGTGTCAGGCAGTGCACAAACTTGCTTTGATGATCAGGTAATCCTGAAGGACTTGTCTGGAAAAATTCTGGTAGTCGGAGCTGTTCAACTTTTACACCTTGTGACCTGTTTATTTTCAGCTTTTGGAGAATCATATAAAGAATGAGGTTATTGAAGAGATTCAACTAGTACGTGCACTGCCCAACAATGAGGGAAACAAAGTACCTCTATCTGAACCACGGAAGTCTGCTTCGATTGCATGTGGGGCTACTGTATTTGAAGTATGCATGAAGGTTCCAGCATGGGCTTCACAGGTTTTTACCTACTTCCTTCCCTGTCTTAAGTCTTTGCTATCATGATATCTGGTAACACTTTAAGAATCTGAAAGAATTGTGTGAATTATGCCCCCTTTTATTAATTTTTACTCTACTAGTCACCACTCATCTGCCCAATCTGCGGTTGTAATCAAATTCATCCCTCTTTTGGTTGGGTATTACAAGGGATTGGGGTGGGCTAACTTGTATAGAAGGCATGAACCTCGTGAAAATGGAGATTCTGCTTTTATGGCTACCACATCAGTGCTTGGGAAGATTGAAGGAGCATTCTATGAAAAAAGCAAATTTATCTCTTTGGCTTTTAGATCGTCAGTGTTCAGTTTTTATTTAGGTTGAAAAAAAGAGAGGCAATTTTTCCAATATTTTATGTAACTGCTGTATTTGCTGCAACTACAATTTCAGGTTTTGAGGCAGCTTGCACCTGATGTTTCCTATCATAGTTTAGTTGCACTTGGGATTGCCAGCATTCAGGGATTACCTGTTGCTTCTTTTGAAAAAGAAGATGCTGAGCGCCTTCTTTTCTTCTGTTCAAGTCTGGGGAAAGATAATAAATCGAATGACTTCATTCTCGGCAGCCCTCCTACTTGGTTGAGACCACCTCCTCCTAGTAGGAAGAGATCTCAACCATGCCAAGAGACAAGCCGGGGTTCTAATTACAGCCAGAGGCTTCCAAGTCTAGCTGCTTCTAAAATAGACGAAGACAACAAAGAAGCTGGAGCCATGAATGGGGTTAGCATGCCTTTACTTCCACCTAGGCAAAGATTGAAAATAGCTGCAATGAGGCCCATTCCTCATGTTCGTCGTCCTAAAATGACACCCTTTTCTGGAATGTCTGAGTTCGATGGGCACGATGGAGGCCAATTTAAGGCTAATCTACCTCCTGCTCCCCCCACAAAGCTCAATATTGTTGGATTAACTCCAACAACACAACGAAAATCGTACTCAAGCTCTTCACATTCTAAGCAGATTATTTCCTTGAATCCTCTGCCTTTAAAGAAACATGGTTGCGGAAGAAGCCCAATACATTCTTGCTTAGAGGTGAGTTATTTTCTTTCAAAATGTTAAATCAGTTTGTAGGTGTTGAACAAGTTCGAGAGGAACAACCAGCTCTGTTTCTATATATTATACACACAGTTAAGTAACTATATATCTCCACAAGTAATCAACATATTAGCCCTTCCATGCGCTCTCTGCATGCTGGAGATTGTTTCCCTCATATAGGCTGTAATCATGTAATTAAAATTAGTATAGATGTAGATCATAAAATAAAATAACTGTCAAGAAAGAAAGTGGGGTAGTGTATGAGAAAATCAAAATAGGGAATAGCTACTTTTAAAATGGTAGTGGGAATTTTTATTTTTTTATTATTTCAAAAGATGTAATTTTGCTTGGAAAACAAGAATTGGTACGGTATAAGAGGGGATGTCGTGGAATAAAAAAAAGTGGGGACATGAAAGGAGTTCCCTTATTACAGTATGAAATTCTTTTGCATGCTATCCCTTCCAATATAATACCTAACTATTGGGGTTTTACTTTCCTCCTGTTTTTTATTTTTTTGTTGCAATCACTTGCTTATGATTACTTTTTATTTATCCCTTGAGCAGGAGGAGTTTTTGAAGGATGTAATGCAGTTTCTAATTCTCCGAGGACATAGTCGACTCATTCCTCAAGGTGGACTTGCCGAGTTTCCAGATGCCATTCTCAATGGAAAGCGGCTTGACCTCTACAACTTGTATAAAGAGGTGAACTAACCAAATTCCTTGGCCAGGAATTAGGTTTCACTTACTGAAGAAGATATATAGAATTTAGTGAAATTTGTTATTGAAGGATGAGGTGTTTGTCAGGTGGTTACAAGGGGAGGCTTTCATGTTGGCAACGGCATCAACTGGAAAGGACAGATCTTCTCAAAGATGCGCAATTACACAATGACCAATAGAATGACTGTATGTCTATAATCTCCCTTTGGTTTTGTTTTTAACTTTGAAATAATTAATGTTTCAAGATTAACGAAGAGGTAGTAAGGTGACTCTGGGCCTACCTGGGAAGGAAAAAGCATATCCTATTAAAAAAAAATGAATAGGTGGCACCAGAATTGTGAAACAGTTAATTCTGTGTCAGAGTTGTGCTGACTCTGGGCCTAACTGGGAAGGAAAAAGCATATCCTATAAAATAAAATAAAAATGAATAGGTGGGACCAGAATTGTGAAACAGTTAATTCTGTGGCAGAATAGTGCTTCTAGAATGTTTGGGGATTCTTTCCAATTATCTTAGCTCAAATACCAAAAAAGTATTTAATCACTACAGGATGAATAGACCAAGTCACTCCTTTATGTGAAAGGGTTCAGTAGATTGTAACACATCAATTGATACAGGTGAGTATGGTTCTTGTTTTCACAGGGTGTTGGAAATACACTTAAAAGACATTACGAAACTTACCTCCTAGAATACGAATTGGCTCATGATGATGCAGATGGAGAGTGCTGTTTATTGTGTCACAGGTTAGCATTTATCCCATCCTATTTTTTTACTTCTCCAGTGTTGAAATTTTTTAACTTTGATAATGTCTGCTTACATGTGATTGGAAACTGTTCTGCAGTAGCGCAGCAGGAGATTGGGTGAACTGTGGAATATGTGGTGAGTGGGCCCACTTTGGCTGCGACAGAAGGCAGGGTCTTGGTGCTTTTAAGGTATCATATCACAATCTCAATCTCCGTGAGCACCTTGTGGTTGTCAAGCTAATCCTTTGGCTTTTATGTGTTAATCTTTTGTTTTGACTTTGCAGGATTATGCAAAAACAGATGGACTGGAATACATATGTCCGCATTGCAGCATCAGCAATTTCAAGAAGAAACCACAGAAAATTGCAAATGGTTTTTCCCAAGGCTCAACGGTATCACGGCCACTGTAATTCAGTTTTGCTCTTATAACATCATAGTTATATTCTTTTCCTTCTGGCTCTCTGATTTTGAGTTTGCTTCCTTCCCAATCTGGCGCGGGAAATTGTTAAATTGTCCGGCTGATCAATTGCATTGATGGTAAAATAGGAGACGAGATGGGGGGAGGACAAAGTTAGAAAAAAGTGTAGTAGAGCATACTAGTTAGTGTAGGCATTTCATTTTGGGTGGGAAATTTCTGTCCTATTTTTGGCTTTAATTTCTGTTTTTTGTTTTTGTTTTTTTTTCCCTTTGGGGGAGGAGGGGATTGTGGTTGATAGTCAAGAAATCCCATGATTCAGAAGGGTCGTTGTAATATAATTCCGCTATCGATGTGAACATATATGACTTATGTAGCGTTTAATGAAAGATTATGATATACTGACTTATCAACACCCTCTCTCTCTCTCTCTCTTCCCAACCCCCCCCCGGGGCGGGTTTATCAATTACGGTCACTTTGCTTAGATTTGTGAACCAGTTTGTGTTGTGATGGGCGGGGCAAGGCTAGGCGCGTTTGCCCTCATATCTTTGCCCCCTGCCACCATTTCTCATCTCCGTCTCCATCTCAAAAGGCCCTGGATTAGGAGTTTTCCTGTTCTGCTCCCGCCTCTGTTTTTCGTGGTCATTTTTATTTTTGAACTTCTTGGGATAGAACACAACCCTATTTTCATCACACAATACAGATTGTAGCCACTTTATATCACTGTCAATATACATTGCACACAAAAAGTATAAGTTTCAATTTTTATTTTTATGTTTATTTTTAAGGAAAAAAGAAAAGGTCTGGTGGTTAAAAGTGAGAATGAGGAAGAACGGGGTGAATCGATGGGAATGAGAGAGATTAAAATTAATAAAGGCTTTGCATAATAAATTTATTTTGGAAAAGAAAAAGAAAAACAAAGATTGAATACCGAGAAGCACAGAATACAAAAACGTAACTGTAAGGTAAAATTAACCTCTTGGAAGTAAAAGTGCCCATCGTTTGGGAAATTGTCAATAGCCAACACACATTAATTTCTAATACCATGCATCCAAATACATAAATTGAGATAGAAGCCAGAAGGGTAAACTCTAATTGACAGAGTCCCCTGCTCTCAAAAGTCTTATGAAATTATAAAAAAATGAAGGGAACATCAAGCTCTGGTGAAGCTCTTGATTTGGTGGATGAGTTCTACTTTTCAGCTCTTCATGATGAGGAAGAAGTATTTCCCATCTCAGATGAGAAATATGCACAAGAATTGCAGCTGCAAGAAGCCCTCATGTCCTCTGCAATCTCTTCAATAACTCCCAAAATTTCTACTCAACCCCCCAATAGAGAGGAAGATGTTGAAACCCCCATGAAAAACCAGAAGGGGAAGGAAAAAGAAACTGGCCAATCCTCTGAAACTTTCTGCTTGATCTGCATGGATGTAAAATCAACCCAAGAAATGTTCACAAACAGTGGCTGCAACCACTCATTTTGCACTGATTGCATTGGAACATATGTTGGGACTAAAATTCAGGAAAACATTTCAATGGTGAAGTGTCCTGATGTGAAGTGCAAAGAAGTGCTGGAGCCACAATCATGCCGGTCTATTATTCCCAAGGAAGTGTTTGATAGGTGGGAAAATGCTCTCTGTGAGTCTCTGGTTTTGGGGTCTCAGAAATTTTACTGCCCTTTTAAGGACTGTTCTGCTTTGCTGGTGGATGATGGAGAGGTTGTGACTGTCTCTGAGTGCCCGAATTGTCGGAGACTGTTCTGTGCTCAGTGCAAGGTTGCATGGCATGCTGGGATTGACTGTGGGGAGTTTCAGAACTTGAATGAGAATGAGAGAGAGAAGGAAGATATCATGGTGATGGAGCTTGCAAAGAAGAAGAATTGGAGGAGGTGTCCCAGATGCAACTTCTTTGTGGAAAAGACTGATGGCTGTTTACACATTACATGCAGGTTAGCAAGCATTAATTTATATTTTTCTTTTTTCTCATGTGTTCAATAATCTGATCTTCTTATTGGTTTCATGATTAGATATATATTCTGTCTACTATGAAGAAACACTTCACTACATTGTTTTGCAGATTGAGGAGGCTTTGATTTACTAGTTTCATGTATGTGATACTTAAATTTTCACTCTTATTTTGCTTTTTTAGGTGTGGATTGGAGTTTTGCTACGGCTGTGGATCATATTGGCCTCACAGCCAATTTTCCAGTCATGTATGTTCAACAGCTTGAGAACTTTATAAGCCAAATAATGAATAGGAGCATCCTTTCAGAAAAAGAAATGTAATGGGGGGTTTTGATCTTTGGTTGTATTTTGGGGGTTTTCTATGCCATATTATGTGATAAAAATCTTGACTGTATTACATCATGAGATTTGTTGAAACTATTGCGATATGAGATTTGTGAGGAAGGAATTGTAGTTGCTTTTTGTGGCAAGACTAAAATTCATAAGATCTTAACATCGATGATCTAAGGACAACATGTCTGCTGTTTCGTAAACTAATACTTATTAAATTGGACAACAGTACAATGTATTGTATCTACATGGGTGAGACTCATTAGAACGGACTTGAACTCAACTCCAATTCAGTCTATGTCCAAACGATACCTAAAGGGCAAACATATGAAATGGACAAAGTTGTTGACAATTAGATCAAAGAGGGAAAAGAAAAACATAATTATCTATCCAAATTGCTTGCATCTGGAGAAAATCTGAATAAAGAGTTATACATATATTTACATATGCAGTGAATTTATAAAACATAATTTACATTAACAATTGTACCCAACATTCATAACCATTTGATTGGTTCGAACCTCAACATTGTGTTTCAACTGGCGCAAGGCTGCCATGTATTCCTCCAACTCCTCCAAACTAGTCGTCATCTCAATCGGCTTCTCCCACCATTCATAACACCATCCTCCTCTTTCTCCATCAATATTGTTATCAATATCATCAATATTGTCAGTAATATTATTCATCACACGCTTGATCTTCTCTATCTCCATGTGCCTCCTAGCTTCCATATAATCCTCTACTTGTTTATTACCATTGCGCATTATATTCACATGCGAAGAAATATTGTAAGGACAATAGCGAACTTCGCCGTTTACATGATGAATATCTGGCTGACCTGCATGTAATAATGAGGAGGCATTGTGGCCGAGGTAGCGGTGGATGACGGTGTCAGCTGAGGGGCTGCCGAAGCAGAACACCTTGCCGTTGCTAGACACGACGATCCCCGCTGTCTCTGCACCGCACAAAACGCTGAGCTCGGCGGCTTTGTTGAAGAGACCCCTTTTGCGCTTGGAGAAGGTCACGTGACGCTTGTTCTTCTCTTCAACTTTTTTGATTTCAACCCTTCTCTGACGTTTGCTTGGCCTTTTTCCATTGATATTGTCATCGTTTGTGATCTCAATCTCAGCAGCACCCCTCTTAGCCACGGTAGGATCAGTTCTCGGCCTTTTCCCATTGATATTGTTATCGTTTGTGATCCCACTCTCAGCAGCACCCATCTTAGCCATGGTAGGATCAGTTATCTGCCTTTTCCCATTGATATTGTCATCGTTTCTGATCTCACTCTCAGCAGTACCCATCTTAGCCATGGTAGGATCAGTTATCTGCCTTTTCCCATTGATATTGTCATCGTTTCTGATCTCACTCTCAGCAGCACCCATCTTAGCCATGGTAGGATCAGTTATCTGCCTTTTCCCATTGATATTGTCATTGTTTGTGATCTCACTCTCAGCAGCACCCATCTTAGCCATGGTAGGATCAGTTATCTGCCTTTTCCCATTGATATTGTCATCGTTTATGATCTCACTCTCAGCAGCACCCATCTTTGCCATGGTAGGATCAGTTCTCTGCCTTTTCCCATTGATATTGTCATCGTTTGTGATCTCACTCTCATCAGCACCCCTCTTAGCCATGGTAGCACTAGTTCTCGTGATATTAATGGAAAACCCTAGAAGGAAGGAAGGAAACTAATGGCGAACCCTAGAGGGAAGGAAATCAATGGTGAACTCTAGAGGGAAGGAAATCAATGGCAAACCCTAAAATATTGTGAAGCAATCTTGGAGATAATATGGTAGGTAGCTCTAGGTTTTGTTATGTTTTGTTATGAAGGAGATCTCGTTATGAAGATGGTAAGTGGTATATATAATGGTAAGTACCAGTGACTTGACTATGAAGCATATAATTAAGGTCTGTTTTTCGGTAGTTAATTTCTAAAGTTTAGGGCTATAATCAATACTGGCAGTCTAAATTATAAGAAAATTACTTACCTAATCTCACTCAAGAGAATACTTACCCTTCTTTTTTTCCTTGAAGTTTAGGGATTCTTTTATTAAAATACGTATTCTTTTGTGTTACTTACTTAGAATGGGAGAACTCATGAACCGAAAAAACAAGAAACAAAAAGAATGAATGGGCACCATCTACACACCGTCCTTCTCCACCCCACAGATCGTCCCCCTCCTGAATTCAACCTCCCCAATCGCCCCCTCACCTCTCTTTCCTCCCTCCAATGACTAATGAGTGTTCTCTTTTCTTTTCCTTTTTTTTAAAAAAAAATTTATTAATCTTATCTTTTGTTTTAAAATTGATTTATGTATTTTTCTAAAGAGTTTAGTTTTTATGTATTGACCTTTTCCAGTATTTAATCAAATAAATCTCTTTCTTCTATATGGCTCCTACACTCCCATAACACAATTTGAATACCTTCTCTCGTCATTATACGACTAATCATGTAACGATAGAGATAAAGAAAAGTGTTGAAGAATATAAAGTCCCATATCGAAAATTTTTGCCCTACCCTATTTGACAAAAAGGATATATAAGTTAACATGTGCTAGGTGCAAGGGAAGATTAGGATGTGGCTTGCGAGGTTGGAGGGACAGGATAGAAAAAGAATTTTTCTTTCATACAATCAAATTGTATGCAACCGGTGATACCTAAGAATATAACTCATAAGGGAGACACTTGCGATAAGTATTATCATGTAATAATATAAAAGTTTTTCTATTTAAACTCCGCACTTCTCTTTGTTATCTTATATTCTAAGTTCACTCCAATTTCTAATTCAAATTTTCACAATTTTTAAGAAAACCCCACTATTCTTCTCAAACTATCCCTAAATACACACCTACCATAAAAAAAAAATTAAAATAAATAAGAACGCATCAACCTCACACCCCACACTCCGCTATCTTACTCTTCACTACTTTAAGTTCATCTCAACCTCACATTACTTAAAAGAGATAAAAACACTTTTGTCAAATGTGTAGCAACATTATTTTATTATTAATTTTTTAAATGTGTTAAATTTTCTTGTTCAACGAAGCAAACTCATGTGTCAATTTCCAGATTATATATCAATCAAAGGCTTAGGTAGGTATTGTTTCTTCACTTCGCAATCAAGGTCTAGTTTTTTTTTCCCCTCCAGTTTTGTTTCTTTGATTATGATTATGATTGTTATTATTATTTCTAATTTGTTTGTTTGATTATGATTTACCGTATTTATGGTTTGTGAAGAGAATATGAGAGTGTAGTAGGTTTCTTGGATTGAAAGAGAAGAGTAATCTGACAATAGGATGTAGAGGAGTTTGTGTTTCTAAAACTTAATATGAAGATTAATGGTGGGGTGTATGGGGTGTGTGTATAGATGTACTAGGATTAAGTATTAAGTTGGATGACTTTTTTTGTCTTTTTACACAATAATAAAACTTAAGAGCTTAATAATTTAAGTATTGTGGTGAACAAAGAAAAATACGGAATTTAAATAAAAAAACTCGTACATAATTATGTATAACTAGTGAGAATTACCCGTAAAAGAGGCAAATGCAAGTAGTTTTGGGAG